TTGGGATTCTTCTGGCTTGGGTCCGGATTCATCCTGAAGCTCGCATTTTGGATGTTCCAAAAACATCCCTCTCCAAACTTCACACCAGCACACCACTGAAGCTCTGGGCAACTTTTGCGCAACCAACGGCAACCGCGGACTGCCGGGGAGTCTCAGGGCTAAAGGTTTTTCCTCTCACCTCCGGACCGGCTAACTCTCAGAGAAACCATGTCAAGAAACCCTTTGCAAATCTAGCCAAATACCCAACCAGACCATTTGGGCTTCCTACATAAAGGAAACACCTGGAGATGGTTTACAATAAAAACATCTCCATCCACACCACTTGGGCTAACTTCCTGGGAACAGAAACCATCAGCACAAATGTCATTTCAAAAATGGATACGAAGTAAAAGCTTAGAAAATGGAACATTCTTCTAGACATCTTATATTTGGAACCTGGAGACGTTTCGCTCGACTCCTTCCCCCGCGGTGTCGAGCGGTCGAGCGGTCGGCCGAGTTCTCGGGCGCCCGGGCGGGGCGCCTCCGCCTCCAACTTGGGCTCCGGCACCGCCAGCGCCTCCTTGCGAAAGGCCTGCAGCACCTGGCGTTCGCCCGTCGCCCCTTCCAAAGCCCAACGCAGCCCAGGAAGATGTCTCTTCTCCAAGCACCGGCGGCTTCAGGGGGTCCTTTTTTGCCGCCTTTTGTGGAAAATGGTGCGATATGCTCGTGAAGGATTCCTTTTCAAGGTGGTTATGAAAAGGATCTCCTTGAAGCAGCCGGTGCTTGGAACCTGCGGGAAATGGGCGAAACGAAGAAACACGCCAAACAGCAAACAGCAAAGAGTCAAACAAAGAAAAGACAAAAACTACGAAATTCACACAAAGAACACTAGGAACAGAAGAGAAACACTGAAACAATGACATGAAGAGAACCCAGCAAAGCGTCCCTTTTTGAAACAAACATCGTCTTCCAGGATCCCTCAAGTTCCATCTGTGGTGCGCAGGCTGTGTCTCTCGAGTCTTTTGTTTGGGAACCAAAGGAAAATGCCAGTTTGGGGGGTCCCAAAATCGAGCCACACCCATATTCACTTAGTGAATCACCCCGATCCATCCCTTGGTTCCGTTCAGGGCATCCTGTGTGGATTCCCTGACCGGGAAAAGAAGTTCCGCTGATACTTTGAGGGCGCTGCCAGGCACATGCATCACAGGAAACCCAAAACAGATCGTTTCACCAAGGCGCATGTGCAAACACAAAGGACATGGCCACGGAGCGATTGCCGGACAGGTGAAGGCTGTAATCTCTCGGGTGAACACGAAAACAGAGATGAGGTGTCCAAAGTCTGGCCATCATTTGTTTCCTTTCAGGGGATCCCATCCCCGTTTGGATTCGCTGAGAACCGGCAAGCAATATTGTTTCTCCTATTTGCCCCCTAGGAAAAGAAAGTTCCGCTATGTCGACGGGCGCTGCCAAACATTGTATGCATCTTCCACAGCAGGAAACCGACAACACATCGTCTAACCAAAACCTCTTCGTGAGTGATGATGGCCTACCCCCGCACTGGATCAAGAATTCGTAGAATACCCATTGTACGCTGGCCCCTCCTGCCAGCAGAACATCGTGGCACAGGTCTTGATGTGGTTGAGCTTCTCAGATGCGAGGACTCATTCCCATCTGGTCAAAAAGCTCGACCTCAGAGAAGCCTCACTTGGTGGATTGAACATTTTGATTTGGACTTAAACCTCTGGCTCTTGTAGAGGGTATCTGGGAAACCAATGGAAACCATCACGCCGCTGGGCTCCAAACGCTGCGTTTTGAGGGAAGCTGACCATCCCAGCCAGGTCTTCACGCGAGAAACAAAAACACCTGGCAAGCGGACCAAGGAAAACATCTGCAAGCAGACCAAGGAGCACCTTGGGACCAAATAATGCCAGAAAAGCGATCCATGGACCAGTCAGATCTGCACAGCCATATATTTACGTTATGTATGCACTGAGTATGAACGTCTCTAAGCATTACAGACAACATACCCTCCTGTCCATTAACATGGAACCCACCAAAGGGTCCATTTAAGAGAAAAATGGTCTTCCAGGGACCTCCAGGCAGGTTCCATGTTCATGCATGGGAGGGTATAGACACGTAGCCAACCAAACATCAACGCAAGCACTAGGCCATCCTGGGCCATTCCTTGACGTCCAAAAAAAAAGAAGGACTGCGGCTGCGCCTTGCTCTCGAGCTGGCGCTCGCGGTGCGCGTCCAAGATATCTTGGGTCCAAATCCCCTTGATCTCCTTGACGTAGACCTGAGGAAGCGGATGCGCGGATGCTTTCCCTTTTGGTTGGTTGACCCAGGATTTAATTCGGGGTTTCCATTAGTTTGTTTCTCTAAAACTCAACAAGGGATACTGGGGTAAAAAAACTCACACACACACACACGGTTGGATATGTTTAATTCTTGGGGACACTTTGGAACCAACCACTGAGGTGGTTCGGTGATAAATTTCGCTGCCATTTGGTATGACGTCCTCAAGATTAATTCGGGCAGCCGGGAAGGGATTGTTTAAGAGCGACCCATGGTGAACTGGGCAGCGATGAGCTGGTTGTAAGTTTCTCAGACTAATTACACCTTTTTGGCCCCCCCCCCCACCCCACGCCTCCCTCCCATATAATTTGGTGTCTGTTTCGTTTCCCCAAGGAGACCCACCTGGGGTTCCACCATCTCCAAAATGGGGGGGTCCCGATTTTCCTAGTCTGTCCGTGTTGACACACGACAAGAAGAAAAAGCCACCAGCGGGATCTGATTTTAGGGAACCTGACCTTTTCAGGTGTCTTCCCTTCATCGGTATCCCCAAAAGGAGCTACTGTGGATGCCTTAAAGGCTGCAAGGGGACCAAGAAAACCCTGTAAACTCCTGGCAACACTTGGTTGACGTTGGGTTAGGGCAGCAACAATTCTCAAATTTTAGCAGTTAAGTGGTTGGATTTCAACCACCAAACCACAAAAAGCAAAAATGTAAAATGTTTCCCAACAACAACCATGAACATGGCTATTATTAAGTCGGTTGAAGATCCAAGCACCATCATCAATCTTTCAGCTTCCTTCTGATTGGTGGTTTGGAGGTTAAGGGGTGGTTTCCCATTTTCCGGTTCAAAAGAGGTTCAATGAAAACTATCCAAACCACCAATCTGGGCTGTCCTCACATCCCCTGCTAAAGTCTAACTTTTAGTAGGTTGCTTGGAACCCCCCCCACTCAACCAACTAAACAACTAGAAACAAAAAAAGATGGCAGTACATGAGCTAACGAATTTGAATCTCGAGTGTCGCATTTCTCGTTCAGGGCTAAATTGAACACCCAACCACTAAATCAACTAAAAACCTTTAAAAGAAACAAGGAACCAAATTGCTGGGAACCACTCAACCAACACAACAACTAGAAACCAAAAAGATGGCTGGACACCACCAAGTTCAGGGCTGAGTCACTTGCTTCTACCCAAAGCAGACCTTCGCATGCCCGGCCTGGGGTCGGTCCCAATTGGCCGCCGCGACGGCGGCGGCATGGGACAACCGCGCCTTCGCAGATCGACTTTCTTTCCGACGAGGTCGAGAGACGGTGCGTTTCTCCGTATCCATGTTTGTGTGTTTGTTTCATGAATATAAATGTACACATAATCATAATAGCAATAATAACAGTAATAATGATTGCAAATAATAATAGTAATAATACCAAATTAATAATAAATAACAATCAATAAAAAAAAAACATAATAAACACAATAGTAATTTAAATAATAATACTAATAATAGTAACAATAATAAAATTCAAAAAGGGCGAATAACTAATAAAACAAATAGCAATAATAATGTTCATCCAAATAATAAGAATAGTAGTAATAATAGCACTCGTAATAATAACAAAGAAGATACTGCTAAATAATAATCAACATACTAATAAATATTATCAAATACATACTAGTAATAGTAAACAAGACTAATACTGATAATAATCACAATAATAACGATAATAAAAGACACCAAAAAAACACTATACTACATAATAATAATAGTAATCATAATAATCATGATGATAATAATAATACTAATAATAATAAGAATAAACAATAATAACAAATAGTAGTAATAATCATAACATCAATAATAATAAGACTAATAATAACAACCATATTTATAACAATAACAATCGCAAAAAATACACAACATAACAATAATAATCATAATTATCATTATGATCACTAGTAATAGTATTAGTCTTGTTGTATTAGTATGAGTAATAACTAGTATTAGTATTACTCTTATTATTATTTTTATTTATTCATTCTTACTATTATTATTAGTAGTATATATTTTGTCGGGTACCCTTCGCAGGGGTTCGTTTGGGAAGCCACAAAGGAAACCCAGCAAGTCTATTTCTGGGGTCCCCGAACAAAAGAAACAAACACACACACACACACCCATGTACCGTTTTCGTCCCCTGTGTGGCCGGACAATATCCACGCCAGGCAGGAGTTGAACGCTCAACCCACAACACCATGGAAATACTGTCAACTTGAGTCACTTGCTCAAAACCCGGTAGCAAAATGGTCGATCCCCAGAACCATGCTTCAAGAATTAAGAAGGCGGAGATCCGCAGCTATTCATGGTTGGGATTGCCCCTTACTCACCTTCACCAATCCCCGGGTTTTGAGCCAGCTCATTTGGTGAGGTTCTTGTTCCCTTCCTTGCAACACTTTTTAGGGCAGCCGCGGGCAGCTTTGGTAAGCGGATTTCCTTCCGTGAGGGGTAACCTCACAGACCCGAAATTCGCCCACCGGAAACCAGTTGGATCCTCAGTCGGCCTTCGTAAAGCCCAGCGAACACACAAAGACAAAGGCTGTGGCTCAAAAAATCGGAATTCCAAAATGGGTTGCCCGATCGGTAAATGGAAACATGGGTGCCAAATGCTGCGGTTTGCCCCTGGTGGTTTAATTTTGAGCCACACCCAGATGGACCCTTCAAACATTTGGCGGTAGCTCAAAAAAATGGAGCCCAAAATGGCGCGCTGGTAGATGGAACCAAAGACTAAAACCAGCGGTTTGCCCCAGCTCCTTAACTTTGAGCCACAGCCATTTGTTTTTTCAACCCGACAACAAACACATCAAACAATTGCGTGTTTCCAGTGATAGATTCCCTTTGAGACCAACTGAAAATAGAGTAAACCACGGAACCACGTTCATTTCAGCAGAAGGAAGTGGGCAATTTGGGTTTTCCATTGCTCTCCTTCCAATGGAACTGGACAGGGAGCTTGAAGCCAAGCAAGCCGAAAGCGTCCTGCCACTGTCAGCTTCCATGACTAGGTCCTCCAGTAAAAAGCTTAGAATAAGGGTACCAACTTTCTTCTGGAGTCTATTTTAGTAGGGGAACCCTCCTAACCAAAAAAGGGGTGAGAAAGGGCACTACTGGGAGACTTAGATGAATAGAAGTTGAATGAATGATATGGGTGCGGCAAAAGCATGAAAGAGTTGGGGTTACGCAGGTGTTGGTCATTGTTTCCATCCAAGGGGTATTGCATTTGGCTGAAGCTCCCATTTCCAAATGGTAAAACTTGATGCGTCTCATTGCTTCTCCCCTCAGAAGAAAAGACGGCAACCGGGCGTGATAATTCTCATTCGGGACGCTCGGACAAATATTGGGTGGGGATTCAGGTCCACGAACCACTCTTGCGCTTTGTCTGACTCTTCAAATTTCCCCTCCCAAAGTGCTTCCTCCGCGCTTGCCAAAGCACCCACAAGCAAAAGGTCATCACCTTTTGCGAATAAACTGCGAACCACCACTTCCAATTAAGTGGATTGGCAAAAACGCAACTCAAGTCCAGGAAAACTCGGGTCTTACAAACCCTCTAAACCCTCTAAACCCTCTACACCCTCCAGACCCTCCAAACCCTCTAAACCCTGTAAACCCTCTAAACCCTCTAAACCCTCTATATAAACCCTGTAAACCCTGTAAACCCTCTAAACCCTCTACACCCTCCAGACCCTCCAAACCCTCAAAACCCTCTAAACCCTCTAAACCCTCTAACCTAAAGGGTCAGACACCGATCCCATCCCTTCGATTCGCTTCGGTGTTCGCCTCCGCCCAGGGCAGCGTTCGGAGCTTCAGCTTGCCCTCCTCGATGTCCATCGCCGCATCCGGACGTCCCGCGGTCGGACGTCCCCGTGGCGAAATTTGGATCAGGTGGGTTCAAGCGTCTGGGCTGAAGGGTCTGGGTTTTCATGAGTTGTGTTGTGGTTACCATTGTTTTCTCCTTGTGTTTCTCCTTTTTCATTTTTTTCCAAGCCCGCTTGAAACGGAATGGGATTTGCAACTTGTCGCATTCCATGATCTGAACCGCGCATTTTCCGCGCGACATGTTCATATTCTCCAGGTCTTCGAATCGAGATCATTGGCGCGCTGCCCCCCTCAACCGTAGGCTGTGGCCAATGCACTCTCGCGAACTGGTCAGCCTATGCCATGTTCTGCTTGCACATGTTGCTGGCCCAGTACTTAATTCGCTGGACAATGTAGGCGCATGCGGCGGTCATTGTTCAAGGCTGCAGTGCAACATCCCGCGAATCCAGCAAGAAGCAATTGCATCAATTGCTCACTTGCCCATTTCTACCTCAGTTCACTCGGTTAGCCTCTCAATCCATTTGCCCAGGCCCACTGATAAAGAACAGATTTCCAGCAGTGACAGATTCTCTTGGACGCCAAGAGGGGAAAATAACCCATGTGCGCTTCAGCAAATCGAAGCCTGGGAATGCTTGGGCATAATCCTGAGATCAGATCCATTCGGCGGTCAAGTGAGGTGTTCTGCTTCGACCCGAGGCCATGACGAGCGGCGGATTTCTTTCTGCTCAAGCAGAAAGTGACTCACTTTTAGTGGGTTTAATACGGAAAACTTGACCATGAGTTGGCACAAGATGTCAAAGTCCTAAGATCCCTTGGGCAACATGCACCAAAGATGGGCTTCGCTTCTTAGTGAAGTCGAGTTTCACCGGAACGTCGATGAACACAATCAGCTCGCTCACATCCAGTAAACCGAGACCGCAGGTCAACGGCAGGTCTTCAGGCCTTGCAACTCCTGCACTCCTGATCAACCGAGGCTGCATATGGGGGCTGGGGGGAGGGAGGGGAGGGGGAGGGAGCCCAAATAAGCCCCAAATAAGGCCTCAACAAGCTAAAAATGCTTTTTTTTGGGCTCCCCCCCCTCCCCTCCCTCCCCCCCAGCCCCCATGAGCTGACAACGAGTCAGATCCCCTGCCACAACTAAACGCTCTTACTGGGGATTAAGTTTGGACATCCAACCAGCTAAATCCAGCGAACCCCAAAAAACCTGAGGACTCGGATGGAAAGCGGCCAAGGTTTCAACGATCCGGTCGTTTCCCATTGCAACAGGGATCCGGCATGCATGGAAAACCACCTGAACCAAGCAGCCATTGTACATGGTGGTGTCCAACTTTAGAATTGGTGTTGACAAAGCCGGCAACATGTTTCAACTGGTGAAGCAACATGGAGATTTCTTTGTCAGCCCTGTGCCCTGTGAAACGGGGCCTGGATTTCTGAAGGGGCCAACACCCTTCTCCAAGGCACTGCCTCAGCAAATTGGCCAAATCAAGTGCTGCTCAACTAACCCCAAAAGGGTGCCCTCCAAAAAGAGGAGCCCCCCACAATTCCACGGAATGGCTCGCCACATGACGACCCCTGATTTCAGACCCGAGGGTCCCAGTCAGGAAATGCCCAGTTCTATGTTGATCGATTCTTCCAGAAAAGTCCCTCTGATTAACAATGCGGGTAACCCGGACCCGCCAAACTGACAACCCTCCCCCAATTTTGGGGGGTCCACTTTCCAAGAGGAGATGTGAGTCATAATCAAACCCGGTACTAAAATGGTCGATCCCCGGAACCATGTTTCAAGAATTAAGAAGGCGGAGATCCGCAGCTATTTATGGTTGGGATTGTCCCTTACTAACCTTCATCTACCCAGGTTCTTATTGTGGCTCATGTGAGCATGCCGTGGATGGACGAAATCCGGCACCACTTTGAAACCATGGTTAAAACAATTATTTGTTGGCATTTATCGGGGAGTCAAATCATTCCAGGGTTCTGAACAGTGGTGCGAAATGGATTCCGTCCATCCACAGTAAGACCCGAGGGGGGATTCACGTGCCCGCTCAACATGCCGCGCATTTTGGCTATTTTTTTTGACACCTGGCTCAAAGACTTTTTCGAAAACCTCACTGGGACAAAAGCCACATCAAGCCCTCAAATTCCCTCCTTGTCCTTTGTCCTTTACACAGCTCTATGCCATGCCATGCTCTTCTGTTTCTCTCTGGCCTTGGTCAGAGCCTTCAATCCTATCCGGATTTAAACCTCCTTTTCTTCGTTCATTTTAAAACCTCCGATGTCTCCGGCCCCAAACCTTGACACCCAGCCCGGTCTTGATGTGGCTTCTTCGTTCCGCCCGCAGCCCGACTTCTGCAAGGCTGTGACCGGACCGCCGGCCGGCGGTCTACACTTCGCGCAAAAAGCGACTGCCACCCCTCCACGCCGCGCCCGCGCTCGCGTTCCGGCGTTCCGCGCCGCCTTCAAAACGTCCCCTGAAATTCTCCCTGGGTCGTAGAATGTGGTTTTGCATCATTTTTCCGCTGATGACACTAGGAAGGAAGTTGGGGAATCACAAAAAACAAATCGGTTTGCCAGTTTGCAAGATTCTCTCAATTGCGGCGCGGCGTGTCTCAATGCACAGGTACAACTTATTGGAATGATTTGTGCAGCGCTGTATGTCGCTGCACATCTGCAGAGCTGCAGAATCGGCATAATCTGCTCATGCAGGAGGCACCTCGACCTCCTCCTCGCGAGAAAGCTAGCGCCGCATGGCAGAGTCAGGCCCGAAATGCATCGGGGATCCCAATTTTCCTCACCTCAATTGTTCAGTGACCCTGGAAAAAAGGGAACCCTTTTTGGGGAAGACCATTTTTAGTGGGGCAGCCACCCGAAAAAAAGGGAAAAAGGGTGCCACTGAACAACTGAGTCACCTGTAGTCCGTAGTGGGACACGAGAAAGAAGACGCTGCCATTTAAGGCATCCCTCTTTCCAACAAACATGAACGTGACCATGCCGGGTCTTGGACAATGAGGCCCTGTGCATGTCCATGATTGGAGGGATGAAGTCTCCCACTTTGAGACACACCCATGCGTCCTCGTCAAAGCGTGTGGGGATCATGATCATCGAGGCTACATCTCACCCTGGGGTTCACACCACCATTAAAACAATGGGGGGGGGGGGGCATAAAGCTACCTCACACGCTGAATTTCAGCTGCCACGACGAAAACAAAGGGGGGCATATAACCACCATTATTTCCTCTCCAGGAATTTTCATCATCAAAAAAACATGTTTCGCATCAAGTCCTCCAAACACACGCACACCAACCCCCCAAAAAACCAACCCCCCTGCTCGAAAGGCGAAAACCTGGCTTCCGCATCCGCATCCGCGGTGCCGAGCATCCGGAGACATCGGTCCTTGGGCGCCTTGACCCAGGTGTCCACGGTGATCTGTGCACCGCCCAGCGAGCTCCTGACGAGATCGAAACCCGAGGTGAGAGGAAGGGGGACCTGCGAACCAAAGCCGACCTGCACCCCCGCCCCCCCCCCCAAAAAGAAGAAGAAGAAGAAGAACAAGAATAAGAGATAGATGTATGTAGGTATGCAATGCAATGCAATGCAATGCAATGCAATGCAATGCAATGCAATGCAATGCAATGCAATGCAATGCAATGCAATGCAATGCAATGCAATGTAACGTAACGTAATTTAATGCTTAATGTAACGTAATGTAATGTCATGTCTGTATATCTATAAATTTATATATATATACGTATATATATATATATACATGATTGATGCCTTTGGGGAAGACAATGCATATGACATCTTTCTTGTTTAAATAGATATACATATGTATAAACCAAGAGGAGTGTAAACTTGGCCCAAGCCTGGGGCACATGCCAAGCCTCTTTCTTGCCGAGCCAAGATAGGCTTTGGGTCTAAGGGGCAGCTTTCAGGGAGGGCAGCTTTCGGGTTCAGGGATACCCAACCTGGCTGATTTTGAGAATGGAGACCCCAAACCTTGAGTTCAGTGGATAAGGGTGGCTCGTCCTTTATTAAGGGCTCCAACATGGCGGGTGTTTGGTGTTCCTGTTAGTTTCCCTGTCCGGCCACACAAAAGAAGAACCCCAACAAAAAGAACCCGCCCAAAAGCGCGCAGCGAAATGGTTCCGATCCCTTTTCGGTTGCAAGTGGGACACCCACCAAACAGTTCAAGGCACAGGCCTGAACAAGTGGGTTGTTGTCCTGTTGGCCCCAGGCTCTATGGGGCAGACTCAGTTGAAGAGAACATGAAGGACAACCAAAAAGGGCCAAAGAGCAAAAGGGCAGAAGCGTGTGGAAATTGACTTTCCCACCCACTTCATGGGAATACCCCCTGCAACTCCCTTTTGGGGACTCCAATAAACAGCTGATGCTTCAACCAGCCCGTTGAAAGATAGCTGTTTCCTCAGCCGTCCCATGCCGGGCCTTCTGTCAAAATGAGTTGGCAGCATGCGGCTTTAGGCAATGTAAGCCGTGGGTCACGCTGGTCGCACACCAAGGAGTACACAAAATGTAACGTAGCCTCTGCCTCTGCTGACTTTTTCTTTCGCCTGCCCCGGAAAACAAAAAGAAGAAGCTTCTTTCGGAGAGCCCAGTCGTGGACTACGCGGACTACGGCGCTTCCCTCACATAGTGCCCCCCCCAATACAAAAAAACAAATGAACATATGCCACGTGAACATATGCCGGACACATATCCGTAACCTTGTGGCACGTCCGACCGAGTATGTCTTGAGGGGAACCCTCCAAATGATCCGTTTTCCTTGACAGGTTTCTTCCTCCAGTGGGACAACATACAGAGAAGACATACATTTTCCCCAAACAGGCTGAAGGTAGGCCCAACCCACTAGCATTTCAAGAACCCCTTCGCTGTTCTTTGGCACGTGATCCACCGTCTGGCTCGCTTTCCGCAAGTTGGGCCGCCCGGCGCGTTGAGGGTCGCGATGGCCTGACGTCCAAGAAATCGAGAAACCATCTCGGGACAATTCGCTACTCTCGGGACTTTGGAGGAGCCGTACTCTTATTGGCTAGGTCCTCCAGAGAGGTTAGAATATGGGTACCAACTTGTTTCTGTATTTTAGGAGGGGAGCCCTCCCAACCAAAAGGTGGTAAAAGGGCACTACTTGGGAGACCTAGTTGGGTTTTTGTTTCTTTTTCAGGGGAACCACAGGGAGAGACGACCCCTTTTTGGGCGACCAATTCCTGTGAAGACAAAGTCCCCAAACTTGCTCAGTTGGTGGTTCTGTGGCAAACCAGCAAAAAACTAGCCGCCAACACCTGGTCTTCTCTGGTTCTTCGAGGAAACCAGGCCATGGGTCCCATTTGCTCTCAAGAAAATTTAAAAAGAAAAAACACGCTAAGCCAACATAGCAATGCAACAGATATAGGAATAAGCACAAACCACTACCGCTCATATATGAGGTAAACAACTTCTCGAATAAACATATGAACCCATGTTCTTACATATGCACACCATGTTATATATATATATATATAAATATATTGACATATCACACCCAAGAAATCACAAAGCCGACAAATCATTCGGCCACCCAATAAGCACACACAACCTTAGAGAGCTCCAATCGGTAGCTCCGAAAGGCTCCCTTGAAGGCTCCCTTCGAACCACCAGCTCCGGAACGGCTCCCACCGAGTGAGTTGGTTATAACCATGGTTGCAAGAGAACGCTCACCCCAGGTACTCCAGTTGTAGCCCACTAAGTTGGTTGAGCATCCAAGAAGCACACACCCTAGGTCCTCCAGATTTGAGAGGTTGGAATAACTTGGTATCAACTTTTTTCTGTCTATTTTAGTAGGGGAACCCTTTCAACCCAAAAAAAGGTGAGAGGTCGGGCACCTAGCTGGGGGACCTAGCACCACTCAGCCGCGGGATTTTGTTTGGCCGCGGACGCGCGCCTGTGCCACCTCCTCCGGGGAGCCGTAGGCTGCTGTGCCGGTGCCGGCGCCCTTGCCCTGAAGGGGCGGGGGTCCATTGCGTTTTGGTTGGGCGAGACTTAAACTCAACGGATGATGTGGGTGGCTCGACTTTTTGATGAGTTGGTACCCCAATTTTTGGTGGTTTTTAGGGACTGGGTGGCTCGTCTTTTTTGGGAGACCGGCTGGCTCGTCTTTTTTAGGAGACTGAGTGGCTCGTCTTTTTTAGTAAACCCCGAAATAGTCTCACAGTCCAGCATGATCTCTGGGTGCTAAGTCAGTGGTTTGTATAGATGAAAAAGCATAAACTCAAGGATCACGTTGCCCCTTTTGTTTAAATGACAAATTACGGGCTAGTTGTTGTCTTTTGGCTTCCCTTCAAATATCAACCAAAGAGGGGTCCATTTTGATTGCCTGGGTAGTTTATTCCATAGAGGTTTCTTCCACCGGTGCAGTTCATGGATTTTCTTGCTGGTGCGATAGGTAGGGAGTGACGCAGTGTGTTGCGAATGAACCTGGGGATTCCCTCAAAAGGAAACCATAGGGGATGGTTTACAGGGGTCATTCCAGCTCCCTGATCAGAACCAGCAAGTTTTGTGAACCACAGGCATTCTGCATGGTTTTTCTACGTTCCTTGGTTCATCATTTCGGGCATCGGCAACTTCGGAGAAACAAGCAGCTTTAATTTATGGAGCACCCAGTTTTTTTGTTTTGAGGAGGAAATCTTGCCCCGAGGGAAGAAACCTTCTTCAGAAGGGATCCTTACACCCCTGAACACTGCAACTTGTAAATGGTTAGAAACCCAACTTTATTTTGGTGTGGAAAACGCCAGCCATGTCAACATTATTTTTGTTGACAAATGGAAAACGCCAGCCATGTTTCAACTGGTTGCAAAATTAATTTCTTTTCAGGAGCCCTGTAAAACGGGGGCCTTGATTTCTGAAGGGGCCAACACCCCATACCCATTCTACCAACCTGACACTGGCTTCGCCTTCTCCAAGGCACCGCCTCAGCAAATTGGCCAAATCAAGTGGGCAAGTGAGAAGAATCCCACCGAGTATGTTGGCTAGCTCCTCCAGCCAGAGCGGACCTAAGAAGAAGTTGGTGCCCACTTGTTTTTTTGTGTGCTTTTTTTTCCGGTTTTGCTTAAATTTTAGTGGGGGCTTGCCCTCCCAACCAACAAAAGGGTGAGAGGTCGGGCACCTAGCAGCTGGGGGACCAATTGCTCCAAGCGCGGCTTCGCTTCCGGAATAGCTATCCACACCAGAAGACTGGGAACCGCCCAGTTTGCTTCATTCACGCCTCTTTTTCCCGGGTCGTTTGACAAAATTTCTCCGATGCGACAAGTCCAAAACCGGAAGATCGACTTTTCCAGGACCGAACAAGCGGCTGTCGCGCGGCTATGGCAAGTTCGCCAGAGCTCGGAATCGGTGGAATGGCGTCGCGATTTCACCCCTCAGCAGAAAACAGGGCATCTTGAGGGTCCAGGTGTGTTGGGGTGCTAAGCAAATTGGTCACAGCAAATATAAACTATCATTCATGAGTTTCGCCCTATGGCCCTATGTCTCAAAATGTTTGACCCGGAAAACGCGTAGCATGGGCAAGCCCGGTGTCCTTTTTTGGTCTTCCCCGACCCCAAAAAGGGTACCGACTTCGAAGGCCCACACCCGTCCGAGCCTCGAAGACTTCGACCCACTTGGTCTTGCCCACCTGGTTCATGTGCTCCTCGCGTTCTTCTTCTTTTTGAAAGTAATATGTTTTCTTTTTGTCTTCGTAATATGTTTTTGTTGTAGTACTATTTTGTTTTGTTTTCTTGTTATTTTTTCTTCTTCGGGCGGCCGAGCACGAACTATGCGGCAGGGGGCGTGAGATAGGGATGTTCGCCAACCTGCGACAGAAACGCCACTGGACCCAGCAAGTGAGCCTTGAAAGGCTCACTGGCTGAGTGGATGGCAACCAAAAGAAGTAACCAAACCTTCAAATTTACCGCTAAAATGGTCCAGCCCCAAAAAGTGACTAAAGCTCATGAACTCAGGAAGTGAGTTTTGGGGGTCCCACTTGGAGCCTTGGAGCCTTGGGTTCAGCCCTCGGAGCCTCCGGCCCTGCCCCTTTCCGTGAGGCAGCCTCGTGGAACCCAAGTGCCAATTGAGGCGTGCAAACTGGGCACCTGGCTCGTGGGGAGACCTGCAAAAAAGCAACTAGGTCTTGGTTTGCTGGGGACCCCCCTGCAAACAGCCAACTTTTTGCTCAACCAAAAAGTTAAAGTCCAAGGACTGAATCGCCATAAACGGGCGTGTCTGAACATCGGAGACTCCTCAACTAGGTCCTCCAGACTTGAGAGGTTACAATAAGTTGGTACCCACTTGTTTTTTGTTTCTTGTTTTTTTTTTTTCTCTGTAGTACACGGGGAACCTTGCCCAAAAAAAGGGGTGAGAGGTCGGGCACTACTGGGGGACCTAGTAAGGGAAACTAAGAGGAACCCGCACACATGTTGGGGTTGCTCGTGGTTAGAAAGATCCGGATCCCTGGGTTTAGAATGGACATGAAAGTTACCCCTAGAACAGGGATCCTTACATTATACACCTGAACATTGCAACTTGTAAATGGTGGGAAACCCTTTATTTTGGTGTTGAAAAAGCCACATGTGTCAAAAGGTGGCAAAAACATGGCCATCTTTTAAGCAGCCCTGAAAAAGGGCAGCGAAAAAACCCAGGGACTTAGTCAACCTGGACTTCTCGAACGCTTGGGAGCCTCAGCTTCAACAAGCCCAAAGCCCATCATCGCAGCGAGACGGATCGCCCCGGTCCTGCAAGTCCTGGGCGAAAGGGGCGCTTTTTGTTACAAGCACACAGATCGAACTACGTCCATTTGGTTAAGGCCCCAGGAAAAAATGAGAAAACACATATTTCCAGTAGTGGTAGATTCCCTTTCAAAACCAAAAAGGGAAAACAAAACATGTTCTTAACCAAATGGAAGATATGGCTGTGGGTCAATAATGGGGTAACCCCAAAATGGCTTGCCCTGGTAAATGGAACCAAGGACGATTTAACCTGGGGTCCAAATCCTGGTGGTTTATTTTTGACCCATACCCATATTGGATACCCAAAGCATACTGTGGATGGTTGCGAAATCCGCTTAGGCACCACCCAAGAAACCCTGGGAGAATGATTGCGCAACGTAAATACCAGCAAACAGTGGTTTATCATTGTTTCAAAGTTGTGCGAAATGGATTTCGCCCATCCACAGTATTACTTGGCACCCATATGGCAGTTTGTCAAAAATTGGGCAACCCCAAAATGGCTTGCACTGGTAAACGGAACCAAGGACGATTTAACCTGCGGTCCCCTGGTATCGCTGGCACCCTCTTTCATTGCACCCCATTTGTTTGCGCTCTTCCGGGTCAAGGCAGAATCCATGTTGCATGTAGGCCTGTCTCCTAGGGAACCCGCTAAAATGGGCAAAATAAATACCTGGAATGCCCCACTGAAATGTACAGCTACTTCACTGGCAACACAGGTCGGATTCGAATCCGTATCAAGGTCAGTAGAAGCCCTTGTTGAGGTTTGATGTCCATACCCATTGTAGAACACAAGTTGTCGGTATGGATTCTGTCAACACGAGGCCGGAACCCGTGAGATACTCAGCGCGACAGCTTGTTGCCACCCACACCATGCTTCTATTCAAAAAAATACCCGCACGAAGAACATGTATAAATATATATATATATATATACATATATATATACATATATATATATATATATATAAATACACACACACACACACACATGCGCGCGCGCACACATGTCCAGCACTCAAGTATATGTGCGGCGTCCTACGCAAGGTCTACAACTATGACATGAGGCATTGAACTGGGAGCTGCTGAAATCCCCTCTTCGCGCATCCGAAAGACAGGAAGTTCTCTCAAAGGGGCACCTCCAAAATCGTGGATTTTCCTCTGGGTCTCCATTCAAAACCAACCACATCATTGGGTTCCTTGAAAAGGAAGCATGGGGACTCCATGGTAGCAAGGACACTCCACACTTCGAGCCTAACTCGGTAAAAAAGTGCTCCACTAACCACCCAAAGGGCACAAAGGCTAGCCAAGTCTGGCAACAAGTCGCCGCCTTCCAAGTTTGGGGACAAACATGTCGGCGAAAAGTTGAACAGGGGCTCGTAAAGTGAAGCCTTTTGATTCACAAGCTGGTAGATCAACACAGGAATACCAACTAGGTCCTCCAGTAGAGGGGTTAGAATAAGGGTACCAACTTTTTTCTGCAGTCTATTTTAGTAGGGGAACCCTCCCAACCAAAAAAGGGGTGAGAAAGGGCACCTAGCTGGGGGACCTAGCCGCCGATCCGGTCGTTTCCCTTTGTCCAGCGAGACGTCCTAAACCCGGGGCCCCAGTCCCCGTCCCGCAGCCCGAGTTGCCCTAACTCGGTGAGTCGCAAAGTACCAAAATGGGCTGGTAAACACCCCGCATTAAAATGGAACCAGGAATTCCCAGGGTCCATATCCATGTCCCCCAAAATGGCACCCTGCATGGAAACACATAGCACTACCTGCCAGTGGCCACAAAACCAAGGCACCCCTTTCCTTGCATCGTTGCGGGTCCTACAAAAAAATCCTGAAGCGAAGTAAGATTGGCAACACTTTGAAGTGGCTTCCCTTTAAACCCACCAAAAAAGGGTACCTTCCAAAAAAAAAACACAGATCCAATATGAGAAAGCAAGAAAGATATGAATTACTTCGTCCCTTATTACCAAGTTTCAATGCAGGTGTTTAAGGAGGTGGTGGTTTCTCCCCAGTTCACCCCCGTATAGCCCCATGCCGCGCCTTTAAAAGGGGGTTCTTCACACATTCAACCACTCAAACGATTGCCCAACCGTCAAGTTCTGCTCACTTCCGATCGAGTGGATTGGCAAAAAGAAGTCCAAACTTGCCGCGTTTCCCCTAAAATGACCCAACCCCAAGATTGACTCAAGTCCCAGAACTCACTTTGGCGTGAGACGAGTTCTGGCAGAGATCCTTGGATGTTCGACCAACCCAGCACGTTGGTTGGTTGTAGCCGGTGCAACTGGGGTTAGTCCCCTTATAATAGCAGTGCTTGTGGCCTAAGTTGGTTGAACATCCAAGTATGGCGGACCAATAAATTCCCTCCGCCAAGCTTCCTTCCAGGTGGTTCCGGGCCTCGAAGAAGTCAACCGAGCCGCATGGTAGCCCATGAGCAACAAGTTCTTTTTTTTCTGGTTGGGGGTGTGAACCTGCGGGGACCATTTGGGCGTGGGTCAAACATAGGTACCCAATATATAGAACCCTGGTAAATGGAAACAGGGACCAAAACCTGCGGTTCAAATCCTAGTGGTTTCATTTGACCCATACCCATTTAGTTGCTTCTACAAACCAGTGATTCCCCATTTCCCGGGCTTAGGTAAGCAAAAGGGCTTGCCAGTCTTTACCAAGAGGAAGATGGTTGGTTGCCTACAGGGAAAACTGGGATTCGCTGGGTGCACCACGGGTGTTCGATTTTATCTTTCCCCCACACTCCTAATGGTCCCAAACAGTTTTTTCAAGGCGGGAATGTGACGCGACACATACCTTTCCGCTTGGATTTTGGCTCCAACGGACCCTTGCTTGGGGGGTGCTCCATAGGGGTCAGGAAAACAACAAAACAAATCCATGCCTTGGAAAATCGGGCAATTTGCCCTTTCAAACATCCCTTTAAATTCACCCTTGTTGGTGGTTCAGATTAGCGGTGGGGCTCAGATACCCAAACCACTACCCCAAACCACCAATTACGTCCCTCTTCGAGTCACAAGACACAACGGTGTCATACTTATAGTCTTAAAACATGTAAAGGGCCAACACAAAGAATCCTGTTTAACAACAGTTGGCAAACCTGGAGGGGCCGGCAAGCTCTCCAGAAAAGCCCATTAGGTCCTTGGCGTGCCCACTTCAAACGGGATCCATTTCTCCAGTGCCCGACATCGAACATGGCCATGGGTAAGCCAAATCGGTTAAATCCAACCACTACAATAGGTTCTAAAATGGGTGGTGAATCCACCTACCCCAAAATGGGATCCCATAGGTTATGACCCGCAGCCACATAGACCCATGTGAGTGCAATGGCAGGCTGCCCGTGTTTTCGGTGTCGGCTTCGAATTGCCCATTTTCGGACACACGGAGTGAGTGACGCTTCAATTTGCCGGACCTGCGACCACACTGGTCAGTGCATATATGTGCTCTTAGCACTTGGTTGACGTTGGAAGGGGAGCAAAAAATTAAGTCTTAGCAGTTGAGTGGGGATTTCCCACTAAGCCACAATAAGCAAAAATGTAAAATGTTTCCCAACAACAACCATGAGCAGGTCAGGAACAGTTAGGAACATTCCCCCTTGAGGTTTGGTCAAGGGCTTTCTCTTCACACTTACCGGTTTAGCTGTGTAGCACCTGGGCACAATGGATGCTTCTCCAAACGGGACCGCGCAAATCGTTGACTTCCCGCGCTCCGGAGAAGACAGCGCCGAGGCACGCGATGCCGCCAATCCACACCTGCCGAAACGGTAACGTTGCCTATGATAGGGAACCTATGAAGAATGAGTTTCTGTGGCTGGTTGCGAGATCCGTTCGCACCACGAAATGAAACTATGGTTGAAACCATTGTTGGTTTTTTACAGGTCAATCATTATAGGCGGTGCAGGACTTCGTCACTGCCTTGGCAAACCACACCCAGATATGACCCACGAACAGGGCATGTGACTGTGTAGAACAGCTCTTCGTGGTGAATCGCATTTCCCGCAACAGATGTTGCCCTGGATCAACCTCTAAATTGGTCAATCGGCATAGGCAAGGTTAAACACAGATCCCAACAAAAACTCACAGGTCAACCAGTTCCTTAAAAACAGACCCAACCAAAACACACACGCACAGGTGTTCGACCCCCAAACAGGTTTCTTTGGGCTCTTTGGGTTTTGACTTTCTTGGGGTTATTATTTAACTTTCTTGGGGTGATTGAGTTTTTTGGGTTCTTTTGGTTCTTTGGTGGTCTTTGGTGTTCTTTGGCGTTCTTTGGTGTTCTTTGGGGTTCTTTTGGGTTCAAACACCACAAGGAGATACCGCTCGGCTCGCCTCTCGCGGCAACCCCCCACGCGCAGTTCTCGCGCGCCTTGTGTGCAGGATCCACTCGAGGGCCCTTGCCCTTGAAGAAGCCCTGGCAACCGTCGAAGGCCCCTTAGACCTTGCTATAGGGAGCAATGCGTGTTGCAGTTCCCAACAATGAAGGGGACCAACCCACCGAAAACAAAAGCCACTATTTCTGGTCATGTGTTCTTGTGCAATCCGTCATGACCTTGGTTGACGTTGGAAGGGGAGCCACAAAAAAAACAAATAGCAGTTACGTGGGGTATTCAACCACTGAACCACAACCAACAAAAGTGTAAAATGTTTCCCAACAACAAACATGTGAAGAGGACCAGCCAACATAAAAGCAAACGCTACTATTTCTGGGCATGTCTTTTGGTGCAATCCGTCCAAGTGTGTGTTTCAATTTGTTTAAGCAACAGATGCAAAGAACAGTGCACCGGGGAACCCCGAAAAAGGGAGCGCGATGCCGCGAGACCTGCGCACTACTGGGCTGTCCTCAAAGTGAATAAACTTGTGGGTGAAAAATTCGTAAACCCAACCAACAACCAAGTAAACCCTCTAAAAACCCAAGGAACCGGGTGGCTGGGCTTGCCAAGACTACAAAGACTGAAGGTCTTTCTTTCATCGACCTCCAAGAGGGCCAGGTGCTATTGAACCCTTTGCTTTGGGCTTGTCCGTGGCTTATTGCAGCCCCTGTAAATGATTCTTGGAATACATGAGCCCTGAATTGAAGCGCTGGGGGTACTAGCTTTTTGGAATCCTCTAGTCGGTCTTGGGTTTCAGAAGGTGTGAGGTCGCAGGATCCCTATCGGGAATGACTTGGGTCTTGTTGATCCTTGGGTCAATTTGCTGGTTCAGAACGGCGATCTAACTATCTAATTCAGACCTTGCGACCAGTGAATCAGGACAATCAACGTCCCAGGCGTGCTTGAAACTTGCTTCGGCAAATCTTGAGCGACAGCCATGTGGAGAATACCATATGCAACGCCATCAGTTTCGTGAATCACGGCCTCAGCAGACTACGAAGGAAACACCACGCGAGTAAGGGACGGCATGTGGTATGCGCCAGAATAGGGAGGACCATGAACATGGATGGTTTCCGGTTGGTTTCCCTTTGAACCAAGCTGCCCTCAAAAGAACACAGACGCCACAATGCTACAACCCTGAATGAGCACAAGGTGAACGGTGAATATTTCATGAACCAATCTGGGCAAGACCTAGGCACCCTGAAAAAGCTCCCTTTTTAATTTTGTTGGTTGAACAAAAACGAGATGGAGAACCAACAAAGCAAAGAAAATAGAAGGCATGTCTTTTTTGAGGGTAGCCCTTTTGGGTTGGTGTTGAAGGAGAACCAAAAAGCCCACCACTTTAGCGGGTCCTAAAAATACCCCGACTGGGCTGTCCTCGGATAAAGCTGACCCAGCACTAAACCTCAAAAACCTACAAACCTAAGGAGACGGCTGGGAACCACCAAAAAAAGGCAAGCGAACTCTGGCCAAAACTTCTCAACCCATCTTATGGTAGCAAAACACCTTGTTTTTTGCAGCCCCCTACAAAAAATGTAACGCAACCAAACAACAAAAAACCAAAACACATGCCAAGAACAGTGACTAGGTGCTCCAGTAGAGAGGTTGGAATGAGGGTACCCTTTTTTCAGTAGTCTATTTTAGTAGGGGAACCCTCCCCCAAAAAAGGGGTGAGGGGTCGAAACGGCACCAATTCCTGGGGGACCTAGGTGAAGAACACACCACGGATTCCTTTTGGCGACCACCTGGCCACCCCCCCGATCCCCCCGCGCCACGCGCCACTCGCGCAAGCGCGCCTTGCCCTTGCCGAAGCCTTTGAAGCCACCGTAGCCCATGAAAGCCATCTGCTTCATCTGTTGATACCTGAGCCGCCGAAAAAAAAAACGGAAAGGAACCGAAAAAAAAAACGCAGGTCCGAGGTCCGCGCCTCTGAAAATGGGCCTCTCTCCCGTGTTTCGAGTTTGAGGGTGCCCCTGTTTTGGGCTCAAAGAACAGCCAAGAGGAACTCCGTTTGGATTTTTGTCTTTTGTTGCGGGGGAGGGGGGGGTTTTATATCCGTCTGTAGTCCCCGAATTGGACCCTGATGGCCTCCCAAGCGACGTTCGCTACGTGAAACCGCTGCCATCAGTTCATTTGCGTGGCTGGCATGCCATGAATCTCTCGCGCGGCGGAGGGGCAGCTCGTCTTTTTCTCGGCCCGTTGGACGTGCTTCCTTGTGGTTTTGCTTAAAGGGAGGCGACATTTGAAAGGAACATATGTTTTTTGGGGTACTCCTATTTCAAGACACTCCCACATGGTTCCCACTTGCACCACGAGAGCTTCGAATGGCTACTCAGACATTTCTAGAAATTCCTATGGCAACTGCCATGATACAAGGCTGCAAGATGGAAACTGAGTTGATGTTAAAAGGAAACTCAACCAAACAAAACACAATTGTGAATCAAGCCGTTGGAATGCATTCCAAATGCACAAACCTAGGGCTCTCCATTTGTTGTTCGTCCATCATCAAACTCACCACGGAGACTCAACTCATGCCTGGTAGGCTTTGTCTACTTGGGTCTTCGATTCGCCATGTTAAGTTGTACCCTAGACAATCCACTCATAAGACCCCGTTCAGTGGAATCTACCCTGGTACTGGTTGGCTAACCACTGGGGCCGGCTCCGCAGTCGTTTTCACAAGGCTTGATCATTGTTCTGAGCTTCGGCGCTGTTGCAACCACCCAAGGAGAGATCTTGGACTTCGCCCCTGCAAATAGTGATAGGTATGTTTGCTTGAGAGGGAAACTTAATCAAAACCAAAAGGACCAACAAGAACAAATGAGTGACGTATGTCTGGTAATATGTCTGCTAATGGCTTAAAATTCCCCGGTGTGTCACCCCTTTTGGAGCCTTCGGAAGCCCAAAAGGACACTAAGCATTTGTGGGGAATGGGTGAGTCCATATCCTATTCAAGACACACATGGGAAACTCATGTGCCCAAAGCTCCCAGAAATAATAGGTTCACCTTTCGGAGCCTTTACTAAAAGCGGTTGCCAACAAGGGAAAACCAACAGGTCAAAGGGCAATTCGCTTTAGGCAAGTAAGGAAAACCATGAAGCAATTTGCCTGGGCTTCCTTGGTTGCTGTTGACCCCTCCGCAAAAAACGCTTAACTTGTGCGAAAAAATGCAACAAACATCCAAGTGAAATCCAATAGTGAAATCGTTCCCTTTAAAACCAACAAAGGAAAGCTCATACCAGGACCCCCCCCAAAACCCACCAAAACACGCCAACCCTACCCCCAAAAAAACAAAACACCCTCTGCTTATGCCCCGCCTTTTTCCCCCTGCACCACTTTGGCATTTGGGGGGCTCCTTTCGGCTGCAACGTTGCGCCCGCCCCCCGCTCGTCCCTCGTCTCGGCTCGTCCCCCGTCCCGCTCGCTCGGCCGCGGGGCTGGTTCCCGGCCGCGCCCAGGAGCTGCACCTCGGTGGCCGCGGGGCCCTTCTCGCTGTCCGTCTTCACCTCGCGGAGCCGAGCGCGGATTGAGCCGAGCGGCGAGCGAGGCGAGGCTGGGGGACGCGGATTGAGCGCGGATTGAGCGAAGGGGAGGGGCGGAGGGGGAGTGGAGTGGAGTGGAGTGGCCAAGGAAGGGCAGGGGAGGGGGAGCAGGGTGAAGGGGGGGAGGAAAAAAAGGGGTGGCTGGGCTCTGTCCGTTATTTGTTTGATGCCCTGTTCGAAGTTGTGGGTTTAAGTTCGGAAACCCAGCCACGAAACCAACTAAAAACGACTCAAAACCTAAGGGACCGGATGGCTGGAAACAACCAAGGGTGGAGGGGTTCAGCGGTGACACACACTTTACAGTCCTTGGTATGGCCTTGCAAATAAACCTGCTTGGTTTTTTGCAGCCTACTCAAAATGAACAGAAGCAAACCTAAAACCTTGCCAACAGTGAAGAGCAGGTGTCAGAAGTTGTCAGCTGGAAGAGAGCTGGGGTGAAGGTGTCAGAATTGGAATCAGTGATTTCGAAGTGGTGGGAACCATTTTTCTTCACGTTGGTACAGGACACACACTTTCCGTCTTCCAAAAGCCTTGCGTCAGCTTCCATGCTTAGTCACGAAATGCTCCGCCCAGCCCCCCATTTGGAAGAGTTGAAAGGAAGGCCAACAAGGAAGCGACTCTCGAAAGGGGGTTCCCTATGTAGGTCTCCAAATAAGAAGTACCTCAGACGCCCAGTGGCCCTGGGAAAGAAAGGATCTCCTTTTTTGGTTGGTTGACTCTAAAGCAATCGGAACCCTTCCCAAAAAAACTTTAAAAAAAGAATTGGCAAAGGGCAACCGGTGTACAGTGGAAAAAAGGGGCGAAATCCACAGGGCAACCGGTGTACATAATCCAGGACAACCACTTGCTGTTGGTATACGTGGTTTCCCCGTGTCCTTATGAAATCCCGGTAGCCGGCTCCTACGGTCCAGAAACACTTCGCTTCGGGACCCTTCTCAGTTCATACAGGAACAGGGATCCGGATGCATGGAAAAACACCAAAGAGCATTGAAACTTGTAAATGGCGGGAAACCCAACTTTATTTCGGTGGCAAGAGCCAACATGTTTCAAATGGTGGCAACATTAATTTCTTTTAAGGAGTGAGGCACTTTGCATAGATATCCAACTCATGCCATTTCAAGTTTTCCACATGTTCCAGCAGTATGGGGCCAGCATCAGGCACTCATGGACTCGTTGGGAAGTACAAGAAGAACATGAGATCCCTACCTTCCATTTTCTTTTCGCCCTGGAACAAATGAGAACGTATTTCCAGTAGTGAAATCGATTCCCTTTAAAAACCCGCAAGGGAAGGCAAAGCAACAATTTAAGCAAACGGAAACTTCATTTCTGGGCGCAGGCAGGGCTTCTGCCGTTGCTGAACCGACGGATTGAGCCATCGAGCCTTGAACTTGCAGTGACCTGGCGCCAAGCGCTGCTAAGCGCTGGGGCTTGAGGGGCTGACAAAAAAGGGAGGGGCCAACCCTCTATCCAAACACGCGCAACTTCCCTTGGCCAGACTTGTTCAGCCCCTGCAAACAGTTACAGCGCAAGCACTGTAGAAGAAATCATCGTAAAAAGAAATTGAGGGGCTGAGATTGCCAAATCAAGTCGTTTGAAACTGCAGTTGCTGCCTGCTGCTAAGAAATGAAGCCCTCCTGGATGTTTCGTCCCAATTTCTCAGCAAGCTGGCTCAATTTCTTGGGGGCTTCTTCGGGTGGTGAAGGACTCTCCCTGCTAAGAAATCCAGGGGCTCAATATCCCCCGGGACACGGAACAGGAATTGCGACTTTGGTATCAGGCCGGAAGGAATTTAAGAGTTCAGCCCACGAAAATTCGGCGTGTTCATCGTGGCGGCCACTTGGGGGCCAGTGTATTTTAGCAACCCACTCCAAAAGGGCGTGGTTTTTAGAACCCGACCAGGTGGTGGGGTGTCCCGACAATCCGTGATCTCGTCGTTGCGAGCTTTGGTCTTCGGAAGGCACACTCTGAGGCATGGGTCGGCAAAAGATCTGCATAGGATCAATGACTTCTTGAGTCACTGACCAAAGATATGGTCCTGCCATTCCTTTGCCTTGCCACTGCTCAAGTTCCTGCGGTGTACATGGCCGACTCAAGTTGTGTCTTGAGAAAGTCCACCATTTCTTCTTCGCCCGGGTGGACCCGGGTGGACAAGACGATAGTCCTATCCCTGCTATTCGGACTGAGACAAATCTCAGGGGCTCGCCCATCACAGATGGCAGCATAGATTTCGGCGCCAGCGCCAGATCCGGCACCCGATTGACACCTAGCCGTAACCAAGCCTTCCGCAAAGTCCGGAATCTCTTCTGCACTGCCCGTTTTCGGATCCGCGAAAAGTGAATCACTTTTAGTGGGTTACATACGGAAACCGGCACTAAACACGAAAAGGCTAAAAAGCCAAGGGGATGGCTGGGGGCCACCAAGAATTACATGAAGGGTCAAATGGCGTCGCAGCATCAGAATTCAGCAGTTGAACATATCACTAAATGTAAGGAGCTGAAACTTGCCGACTCTTGGCCGACTCTTCAGTGCCAATTCTGTGAGGGAATTGAGATTCAAACCATTCACACTCTTAGGTATCGGCTCTCCCTTGAGAATGTCCATGTCCGCCCCGGGACGCAACCACCCTGACGGTTTCCATATGCAAAACCCAAAGTTCCAGTGGCCCTTCCAAACTTGCTGGTTTTCACTAAGGCATCACTGCAACTCACCTGTCTGGGCCTGCAAAAGTTAAGCTTGTGCTAGTTGAAAGGAGAAATGACGGAAAACCAAACAAGCAAACGCTAAAAACAAGGTAAGCCTTGGATGCGGCACTGCTGTCAGCTTGGATTCTACCTGCTCAAATTACCCACGAGAAAGGGAATCCGCCGAAAAAAAATCGCCGCACCCATAATTCGCCGCAAAAACACATTCGTTGTCACTGGAATTTGGAGGGTTCAGGTACATTCAAAACCGGAGAAACGTGCTTTTGTTTCCTCATCTCACGGAACGCTCGATGTTTTCCCCGGAGACTCGCTGTTTTTCACCGAGCCCCTCACCCTCTTGGACGGTTTTTTAGCGGCGAAACGGGTTTTGGGTCGTTTCCTCCAGCCTCCTTGCGGTGCGAAGCCACCGGGGATCTCGGACTTCAGCACGAAGACGTCTTGGCCGGGAAAGGCCTGGCCAGAGCGGGCGCCGCTTTCGCCGCGCGCTCTGCGCGCTGCCTGAAGGATGGGCCCTGGAAATGCAAGCCGATCGCCTTTTTGGGACCTCTGAAAATGGTCCAAGAAAGGAAACCCCAAAAAGGCTCCACTCACTTGCTTTGCTGGGTGGATTGGCCAAAGAATGCAAACACCACACTCTTACCAGCAGAATGGTCCAAACCCAAAAAGTGACTAAGGTCCGAAACGGAACTCAGGGAGTGAGAAGGAGTGGAAACACAAGGTGGTCTCGCCCTCTTGGCACCTCTGCGCACGGGCCAAGCGCAGCCCTAAAAGGCTACAAGCCAAAAGGTCGGCTTTGAACAGGTCCGAGACCGTTCGCCCGGAGAAACTCGGCGGAAGGAACCGGTGGTGGTTCCCTGGTGAACCCGGCTGGCACGAACCAACGTGAAAACCTATTCAGATGCTCGGCTTCCTGGTGCTTGAAGAAAATTTTCGGGACCAACTACCATGCCCGTGCAGAATTCCTCGTAGCTCCGAAAGGCTCCCTCTTTAAATTGCATTAAAAGCGAATTTGGATACTGGGCTTCCTTCCAACCACTAGCCAGCCAACCCTGCAAAAGGATTCCCCAAGAATGGCCCATCCCCAACTGAACAGTTGGAGCCCAAAACACGGGTACGCATTCCTCACACAAAGTGGTCTTTGTGGGCTCTCCTGAAACCTCCAAAGTGGTTTCTCCCAAAGCACCACACGTGCCCCCCCCCCCACCCCCAACAAAAATATACGAAAATGTTGGTTGCTGTTGGGCAAAAGCACCACACGGGCCAACGAAAATGTTGGTTGCTGTTGGGCTTTACAAGACGTCTGCTGCCCGTTGCTTTGACACAAGGTGCATCTGGGAGGGACGGGGACTCTCCAAAACACAAAAGCCAGGCGACTCTCGGTGAATTCACCGATGCCCACAGAGAACAGGCAACAAACTGTGGCACAAACATTGGCGCGACCATCGTATGCCATGGTCACAATTGGTCAGGGATGCCTTTTCCAGGCCTAAACCTTGTGAAGGGATTGGCGAAGCAGTGGGCATTCACCCAACTGGCCTTTCATAGGCCTCTTGTCCCCCTTAAAGTGTAGCGTTTAGTGGGTTAAATGGACACCCAACCACTAAATCCAAAAAAACTAAAAACAACTATGGAAATCCCCCCATCTCCCAGATCCTTCTCTTGGAGGGCTCCGCATGCGCCCGACACACCCGTTGACATTGTTCGCCTCACAGCCGATGAAGCCGTAGCCTTTGTTGGGGTTGAAGGACTTGATCTCGCCTGAGAGCGAGCTGAGAGCTTGGCAGCGGATGGCAGCGGATGCGGGGCGTACCTTTTGGCCAAATGCCTCGTTTCTTGGGGGTGTCAGGCGTCAGGCGTTGGACTTCCGATTTTCAAAAGTTGATCAACTGGTGGTTTCCACTACCTTGACGTTGACGTTGGGTTAGGGGAGCAAAAACTCAAATGTTAGCAGTTAAGTGGTTGGATTTCCCACTCAACCACAATAAGCAAAAATGTAAAATGTTTCCCAACAACAACCATGCTACTGCCACTTTTGGAGCCTGAGTCCTCGGTCCGGCTCAATTGCAGGGGTCCGTCAACCCAGCTTTCGAAACTCAAACACCTCAGCCGATCGGCCCAAAAAGTGGAAACGCGCTTCTTGTCCTTTCTAGCGCTCGAATGGTCTTCACGAGCGTGAAGTCCAGAATCTCAGGCACTTTCTGAACGAGGGTCAGACTTTGGAAAGGGAACCAGGACACGGAGTGAAAATTGAGAGAACCCCTCACAAAAACACCCCTCCTTTGAGATACAAGCTTTGCCGGATTAATAAACCCCGGTTTATTAATATGTAGGTGCCCCTGGTTTTAGTGGGGATTCAAACCACTTTTGGAGGGGCCCCCAACCTGATACTAATAAACTGGGGGAATTCATTAATCCAGGTTAAACATTACTGCGGTTGACTGCTGGGTTTGGTGTGACCTTGTTGGGGAGAGGCACAAAAAGGTTACCCAAAAGCAACCCATTGCGGGGTGGATTCATCTGGGGTCAACTAGGTCCTCCAGTAGAGAGGTTAAGGGTATCCTTTTTTTCTGTAGTCTATAGTAGGGGCTTGCCCTGCCTCGCCCAAAAAAGGGGTGAGAGGTCGAAACGGCACCAATTGGGGGACCTGGTCAACACAAATGAGTTTCCACTTCGCAATCGACCGCTCTCGCTCCTTTCGGCCTGGTCTCTGCTCCGGGGGGCTGTTTCCCGGCCTCCGGAAAGGCGTTTTCCTCAAGGTTCCGACATGAGACATGAGACACGGCGACCTGGGCTGTCCGTTTTCTGATGGCTAAAAGTGTTCACCTTGCGGGTTAAATGGAAACCCGCACTAAACCCTAAAACAACGAAAACCTGAGGGGATGACTAAACACCAAAAAACTGCGTGGACATGGACATTTGAAATTCGCCGAGGCCCTTCATTGGGAAGTTCGCCTTTGTCGTGTTTTTCGAACTCGCGCTTCGCCGAGTTGCCATGGAAAATCTTCTCCTCTTCCGGGCACATCACTTTCACTTCCGTGGCTTGCTGTCCCTGGCGTGCGCGCGGCTCGTTGCAAGTGAAAAATTTACAGGCCGCTCACGCTCGGGTGTCCCTGTTTCTGGAGCAACCACCGTGTTTTTTCCCAGATTTCTTGTTACGCTCTATGCTTGAATCAGTGTCTTCCAAAGCTTTTTTTGTGAAGAGCCAAGATCAAAAAGGCAAAGGCAAGCCTTGTGAAAGAGTTCTGCTCAACCCCCCGCACACACATACACAAAGGGCATCAAAGAATGCCATGTGCCAATCTTCTGCCCAAGCTCAATGGCCTTGCTCGACTCTGAGGACGATCCCATGGTTGTTTTCCCCACTTTCCCGGACTCAGCGGGCAAGGCGCATCCTGAACACCCAAAAGCAAAAAAAGCCGCACACACACACACACACCCATGTAGATGACGAGCGACTAAATGGTGTAGGGGTTCGAAATTCATACATCTGTCGAGAGAGTGATGCCCCCCTTTGCGACAGTTCAAAGAAAAGCCGAAGGGAACCAATTGCGGGGCGGTCTTGGGGGTGTTGGGGGTCCCCAATTCTGTTTCGGAGAAGAACATAGAGACGTTCTACACAAATGAAAGAGGTTTTTGGTGAAAGTCAACGAGGAGCGTTAGTGTGCAAGGCGCCATGTTTGTGCAGTTTGCGAATGGATAATATGGGGTCCGGAATTTCAACCCCAACAACTAGCGCCCCCCGCTTCGAAGACCATCCCTTTAAAACCAAGAGGAACACCACGATGTTGGGGCTGCCTGAAAAAAGACACACCAACACTTTTCGGCGGGCTTTGGCATTGGTAGGACACCCCCCCAGTAAGAGGGACCCCTGGTTTTGTTGACCCGTTTCAAGGGTAACACTAAAAAAAAAAAAACACTTGGCGAGTCAAGGTGCGATTCCTATCTTGAGGCATACCCCGAAAGAACGAAAGTCCCTACGGAAAAAAAAGGGGTTCCTCCAAACAAAGGACCACCAATCTCTTCACTTCCCTTCCCTTGGACTGCCGCCGTCGCGGAACCGGCAAACCACCCCCGTCGGCTCGGCTCAGTTCGGTTCGCCGGACTCGGACTCGAGGCCTTCTCCCCTTGGGTAATGCCGAAGGCCACCTTCATGCCCTTGGCCAGGCAAAAGCCGCCACACTGTCGCCTCCCATCGAATCGAAGAACGGGAAGGACCGAAGGACGAGTCGCGTGCGTGCGTTTGTCGGGCTGGGTGTTGGAGATGCACGCAGCTGTTTTGGTGGGATTTGTTAAGGAAACCATAGGCATGGGAATGGTTATCGGGAGTAGAAGGGCATGAACCGGTTTTGGTTGGATCCCCAAGGAAACCATAGGGATGGGAATGGTTTATAGGATTCTGCAGATTCCCTCTTTCCCTATGGCACCAGCAAAATAAAAAGGCACTCCAAACACTGGGGGAACCCTGCCTTGAGAAGGGGCGCCGGCACAAGAGATGAAGCTCCTTGATCCTTGGCACTTCTCGGGAACAAACTGCCTTTCTGCATCAACCGTCTGACAAAGAGCTTGTCAAACTCAGAAAAGTGCCGACCTGAACATGAGCTTCCGTCAATGGAACCCACTACAAAATATGTTAGATGGTCCCTCTTTGGACGAACTGGAGAAAACCAGACAAATCAAACGGCAAGGTGGGAACCCTTCAAAGACCTGTCTGGTGTCTATGGTAAGTGGGATCCACTGGGTGTTCTCTGCGTGTGTCTTGTTTAAGGTTGGCCCCCCCTAACAATTGTGGTTTGTCCTTTGGTTTCCTTAAAAACCACGAAACGATAAGTACCAACTCAACAGAAGACAAGCCCCTTAAGTTTGCAAACATAATTTGCTCGAGACATGAGCTGCACGTTTGCTTTGTTGGAATTAGCTTCAACCAGAGTCAGGTGCTGAAGTATCCTCCTTCCAAGACTCATGGCCAGTGAGTCCCCCCAATAGTCGCCTTCTAAGACCCTGAACTTCCATGGTCGGCGAGGGTTTTAGGTGAAACTAACATATTTCTATCCCCTTTTCATTGCCCCCAAGGGCGACCGAAGATTGAATGCTGCTCGGTTTGTTTGGCTTCTGCCAAAATTTAGGGAACCGTCGCCATTTTAGGAAATGGACTGATGCCTATTTTCAGAAACGCACATGTTCGGGGTATGTGCCACAGGGATTTGGACCGGACCCAAATGAATTCGGTATAATTCGGTCCTTTTGGCCTCCGAGTGAGAAACACCCAGAGCTTCAAACTGCTATGTGCAGTCAGAACTCTGTCTGTGGACCATAGTTTCATCACTACTCCTCACGAAGCATCCATGACATGCCTAGCAACCTAACGCAGATCTTTCAGAGACTCGAAAGAGGGGTTACCAGCCAGCCCATTGCTCAATCAATGTGATGCTGCAACCCATGAGTGCATGCGCAAAAAAAAAGAAGAAAAAGAGCGGGCCCCGTTTTTGTTGTTGTTGCTCCACTTCATGAGAGCCAAGGAGCCCCAGGTTACTATGGAACCCCCTCTCGATCGAATCGACTTGAACCGTGAAACCGCGGGTGGGACCTCAAGGGCGCCGAACCGAAGAGGACGAAGCCCGATCGCGCGCGCGCGGATCGATCCCGCGACTCTCGACTCGACCGACTCGCCTATTCACGAAGACGTCTTGGCCATTGCACTCGATGAAGCCCCAGCCCTGGCGTTAGAGAGCCGAAGAAAAGCTGGAGAAAGAGAGACATGGCTGGGTTGGGTTGGCGGTTGGGTGGGATTGGCCGGGGTTTTGGTGAAGGATGGGCTCTCGAGCCTCGGCATCAGCTTCCCGCAGTTGTTGGGCCGAGGAATGGTTCGGAACCCTGGTAGATCGAAGCTAAAAACAACCCGGCGACTCAGGGATCCGGATTTGCATGAAAAAAACACCGGAAAAAAATACTGGTCAATGGTGGTTGAAACCCAACCTTATTTTGGGGTGGAAAAAGCCAGCCATGTTTCAAATGGATGGGCAAAATGGAGATTTCTTTTAAGGAGTTGTGTGTATGCCTCAACTAAACTGAAGAAAAGGACACCTCCGAACCCAAGATGGATAAACCTCTGGTTCTTTAGAGAGACACACACCCCTATCCGCTTGACGCTGTGTTTTTTCTTGCTCGCGTGTTCCCCAACCAAGGGAGCGAGGGCCAGTCAACCAAACTGGGTGATCCCTTTTTGGGACCGCACAAAATGGCTGTGGCTCAAAAAACCAGTACCAAAAGGGAACCCTGGTAAGTGGAAACATGGACCAAAACCTGTGGTTTGCCCCTCCTGTTTAATTTTGAGCCACACCCAAATGGGTGATCCTTTCGGATGCACAAATGGTCCAACCCCCAAAACGTCACTCGGGAAGTGAGCCTCCCCCACCCCACCCACCCTCCACCCCCCCTCCCCCATCGAGCCTTGTGTGGGTTGTAGGAGGTCACGGTGCCGGTCACAGACATGGCTTGTCCTGAACACGCCGAGAGAAGTAAGGCCTCCGTGAATCCCAAGAAACACCGGCAAACATGGCAAGCCACGCGAAAAACCACTACGTTTTTTGCTTTTTGTTTCTCACTTGAACTGGTAACATGGACGCAACAACGCAAGAGGGTGCCTGTCAAATGAACACCTCTTCTGCCCGTCGCCCTCTGTCAAAGAATGCGGCCTCCCACATTGACCAGCCGAACCTCCGAAGCCTGAGGTGCACCATTTTGACCCAACGGACGAACCCACCTAAGGAGCATCCCTGGCGCACAACTTCCTTTGGAGATGTGGCTCAATTGGACCTTTGGGACATTTTTTGTGGCCGGTTTCCATGCAAAATACCGGCCGGTCGCATTTTTGAGCGTGTTCCAACCACACACTGCCGCAGGCTTCTTTTTGGGCGGGTGGGGACCACCCCCATAAGCTCCTCCCATCAGAGTCGCTGTAAACACCCCGAAAATGGCCACCCGTTCCAAACCGTGCCCCCAACTGAAACCTGTGCATTACGGGTCTGGCACGCTGACTTCCGCATTGGCCGAGGCCGTCTCTACGGTGTCTTTTGCTTGGAGAGTGCTCTTTTTTCGAGGTTCAGGGAATGAAACAAAACCGAATTCAACCCTCTTCCCTTTTCTTTGTTGCCTTTGTATGTTTTTTGTTGTTTGGGGGGGGGGGGGGAACCAGAATGCCACCTTATTTTTGGGGGATTCCTATCTTGACACCATTCTTAGGTCCGCAGAAGAAAAAAAACTGTTTGGCTGGTGCCCACTTACCACAAACGCAGTCAAGAGGCCGAAGAAAGAGGGAATAGGGTTGTTCAACCCCCATGAAAAGAATGTCCTTGGGAGCCAATTTGGATGTTCTGAAATTCCAGGGTACGTAGGGTAACTAGCTGGTTAATTATACTCTCACCCCCTTTAAGATTTAATGGTGGTACCCCCAAAACATTGCAAGACCAACCCCGCAGCATGGTCGGTAACAGGGGTCTTCCTTGCTTGTTGCTCACCTGCAACACTCGATCCCTCAAGCCTCAGAGACTGGGGAGGAGAGGCATCATAAACAGAACTGGCTTTTGGATATGTGTTTTTTTCACTTTTTTTGTCTTTCTTTTTTTTATGTTTTTCTTTTTTTCGGGAACCCAACAAATCGTGGGTTTCTTTTTGGCTTCCCTTTCGTTTCCCTTTAAAAACCAACCAAAGAAGGGTAAGTGTTCCCCCCAACGCAACAACACATCGGCTGGACATCCGGAAGCCCCCGTCTTCTCCCACGGCGGTCGCCTGTCCCCGCCTCTGGCTTACGGGTCGGGTTTGCTTCAACGGCTGAAGGAGCCATAAAACAGCCGGCGCCGAGGTCAAGTGGCAAGCGACACTCTCACCGGGCCTTGGATCATCGCTGTTTGCCCAGGTACTGTGCATGGATGCGAAATCCGAGACCGCACCACGAAATGAAGCCATGGTGGACACCGTAGCCGTTTGTTGGTACTTATATACGTTGGGGACATATTTTTCCAGGCTTTCTGAATGGTGGTGCGTTTAGGTCCCACAACATTCCCCCGCTCGGAAATCCCGGTATGTTTCTAAGCCCAACATGGTGGGAGTCAGGGCACGCTTCTCAAATTCAGGGCTCAGGAGGGCTCTGGATGACCTCTGGTTATGGGAAACAAAGGGCACCAACTCCTTTTAGAGGAAGCCCCCCAAAATTGTGTGTCTCTTCCCCTAAAACCACCAAAAAAGGGTCACCAACTCCAAAAAAGACAAACCCTCTGGGTTTTTGAGGGCTCAACTCACTTGGGAGAAAAGGGGTTTCCTAAAAAAACGCTTGATTTCGCTGGAAAACGCATTTTCAGGGGTTCCCAAATTTTAGAACCACTGGGTGTTGAGGGCTCCGCATCCGAACGTCTAAAATAACATCACCTGTCAATCAGTGGCCATGGGAAACAAAGGGCACCAACTTTTTGTTGGTCGGGGAACAAGGGAGGCGAAACCCAGGACATTCCTTGGTTGCTGTTGACGCCTCTGCGAAACAGTTGTTCACGTTCGTGGAAATCAGAAGATACACAAAGTTTCAAACAAGTTCTTCAGTCCAATATCCGCAAAGGAACCCACGAATCGAGGGCTGAGTTTTGAGCTCGAGAGATAGCTGATCTGAAGGTCTTGATCCCGTCTTTTCTTCGGTTGGTACCCTTTTGCCTGGGTTTTAAAGGGAAACCAGGAGTAAGGATTCCCCCAGATGCCAGAGGTGATGCTGCCATTTCTTAAGGATTCCCTCAGCCAGAGGTCCAGAATTTCTCTCTCCTGCCTTTTTGCTTCACCTAGACACTCCAGGCTGTACAACGGCCCAACCCCCCAACCGCAATGTGTCCATCAGTCCCATCTGCGAGCACCTCGGGCTGGCGAATGACTCACTCAAATGCCCAAAACCCACTCATCTACGAAGGTGGTAAAGGATCAACGAGAAAGAAATAGTTGCAATTCGGGGTCAATCATTTTGACGCAGTGAATCCCAATTACTTGAGCTAGCCAGACATGTTTCGCGTGAGGATAGGATCTGTGGCTCTAACGTGCTGGTTCGATAGGCAGGGAATGAGAATTGGAATGACCCCTTTAAACCATCCCTTGCAGTTTCCTTTAAGGGAATACCCAGGTTGATTCCCTCATTCCCTACTGAGAACCAGAAAGAGTATTAAAGAGCTAAGGCAAACCGCAGGTTTTAGTCTTTGGTTGCATTCAACACGGTGCCATTTTGGCTATCATTTGTTTGAGCCCCAACCATCTGAGTCGAATATTCGCCGGTCAGGGGGTCTCAACGGCATAGTTTGACGGTTCAGGTGGTGTGTTTGTTTAGCGACAGCTTATCTAGGTCCCCCAGTAGTGCCCTTTTACCCTTTTTTGGGGGGAAGGTTCCCCTACCAAAATAGACTACAGAAAAAAAGGTACCCATATTCTAACCTCTCAAATCTGGAGGACCCATGTTGCTTAAGTCCACTTGGACAAAATGACAATATGTGCACTAGTGAAATCAATTCCCTTTTCAATCAACAAGGACAATAGACACAACCAAACATTCATTTCAGCAAATTGGGAAAAACAAACAACACACACACACACATTTCCAGTCGTGCTAGATTCCCTTTAAAATCAACAGGTTATGACCCATGGCCATCTCAGCAAATGAAAAGCGGAATCTTGAGAAATCTCAGCTTGCGGCACTGCGGTGCCAGTGTGTCGCAGCTTTCCCTGTCGCCTTGGTCTCTGCAAATTGAGCGGATTGACGGGCCTTCCTTAAAAAATGGGCATGAGAAACCCGTGAAATGGATGGCCTTCTTTTGGTCTCCTTTAAAAACAAGCCTACAAACACGTGCACTCCCAAAAAGACAAACCCAAAGAGCGCCTTTTTGGGGTGCCAGGTCAATCCGCAGGAGAATACGTGGTTTCCAATCAAAAAGGAACCCCTTCTTATGGTGGGGTCTGCCTTTGCTAGGGAAGCACATCTAAACTCATGGGCGCTGGTGAAGAGGAAGCCCTTTCTTAAGCCCTCAAGCCCTTAAGAAGGTAATGCCACTCCACCCCTCCCAAAGCCCCAAAGCCCCAAAGCCCCAAAGCCCCTTTACGGACCGAAGTCGTCCTAAGAGGCCACTCCACCCCGTCTCCCTCCCGCGGCCCTGTGAAGAAACGGCGTGGCTCTTTCGTCTAGGAAGCACCTAAGGGTCTTTCTGCCACCTTTTGTGGAAAATTGATCGACCCCCTCGTAGTGAAGGATTCCTTTTCAAGGGGGTCGCCCAATTTCTCACAAAAGGTGGCAAAAAGACCCCCTGATTGGAAGCAGAACTCCCTCTTCATCCACCCGCGCCGAAGGCTTTCATTTTGGATCCTACTTCATATTTAGTCAACCTGTAGAATCTACCCTAATGTGTTTATATATACGTATATGTATTATATATGTTTTTATATATGTATATCTAAATATATAAAGAAAGACACGACTAAATATTAGTGTCGTTTTTTAGAGGAACCTAACAAAAATGGTTGGTTTCCTTCTTCCCCTTTAATTACAACCAAAACAGAGAAAAAAACACACACCCCATATGAAGAAGGGTCAGAAACATAATCCTGTAGAGTCGACTTGTGCGGCTCATTGCCCGATGGACCCAGAAGTACAAGGTGAACCTGTTGGGGCCATGACGAAAAATGGGAACCCAAGCTGGGAAAATCGCTTTGGGCTGAGGAATGTCCTCAGATGCCCTGCTAAAAGCTGGGCTAAATTTGGAACCGCCCCACTAAACCTACTCAAAACCTTCTCTAGAAACCAAGACTCAGTTGCCCAAAGGACCCCGGCGATTGTCGCCCCCAGCGATTGATTTCCCAAGCCCCCCGACGGCGGTCACCGGGCCTCGTGACCGAGATGAACAAAAAAAAAGGCGCAAGGCTCACTCGCAGTGGCAATCAACACCGTGACCAACTTGGGTCTGGGATGTTTATCGAGTTCAAGGGAAACCAAAAGGAAACCGCTCATTTTCACACAACAGTCACCAACTTGGGTCTGAGACTTATAGTTGTGAGGCTTGTGTTCAAGGGAAACCACAAGGAAACCGCTCATTTTCTTGGGTTTTTCGAAGGGAAGCCGAAAAACAAACACCTCTCATTTTCCCGAGTTTCCTGATTTGAGACACACCAAAAAACAGATGGCCCGGGCTGGCGGAAGGCTAACAAATGGGAATTCGCTGGGCAACCAGCGAGCTCGCTTAGCTCCATGGCCACTCGGCCAGCACTTAGGTCCTCCAGAGAGGGGTACCCACTTTTTCGGGTGTGTCTGAACATTGGAGACTCCTCAACTAGGTCCTCCAGATTTGAGAGGTTAGGATAAGTTGGTACCCACTTTTTCGGCTTTGTCTATTTTGGACATGGGGAACCCTCCCTTGCCCAAAAAAGGGGCGAGAGGTCGGGCACTACTGGGGCACCTAGCTGAGAAGGATCTCTGGGAGGCTACGGCTAGAAACCTGAGTGCGTGACACAGACATGCACGATGACACACGTCAAGAGAATATATAAATAAGAACAGAAAGGCAACGAGAACTGTAGTTCTTACATTCTCAAACCTCCGCCCACTGGGTAATACTGGGTGTCTCAATCCCAGGCTGGATAACCATCCCTAGTAATCCCTATGAGCGGACTTAAGCGGACTTAACACTACCTGTGAATCAAAAAGGGCATGACACGATCAGGGCTTTCCCCCGTAGAGTTTCTGGGGCCGGTCGGTAGCTTCCTGTACTCTGACAAGTTGAATCCTGGGGCTCAACGAGGTGTCCTAAAGATAGTCTGATCCAAATGGCTCTGGCTCAAAAAACCGGTACCACAATGGAACCCTGGTAAGTGGACACATGGACCAAAACCTGCGTTGTGCCCCTCCTGTTTAATTTTGAGCCACACCCAAATGAGAGCATTGACCTTCCCGATGAACTCAGAAATTTGCGACTCAGCCTTCAAGCGTCCCAGGGGTTGCTGACAGGGGAATCTGAATCAAGCCAACATGCGGCCCTCAAAACGGCAAGCGCCGATTTAGGGAGGGTACCCTTTTTGGAATCAAAGGAAACTGGAGGGACACAAACAGTTTGCCCTGATTGGAGACAAGCTTAAAGGGGTGTGTCTTTTTGAGGGAACCCTTCTTGCTTAGTTTAAAAGGGAAGCCAAAAGGGCACCAACCATTACCAACCCATTCTGGGGGTCGCTTAAAAAAGACACACCCACAAATTGGACAAACAAACAAGCGGGGATACGGAGGGAGCGGGGATATGGGGGGATTCCCTTGGCGCCATTTCCCATATCAAAGTTAGTCCGAATCCTCCCGTATCCCTGGTTCCCTTTGTGTCCCTGCTAGTTGGTTTCCCTGAGCAAATGGAGAGTTTCAACTCAATGACTCGGCCAACCCCCTTCTGCGTGCCCCGGCCGCCACGCTTCCCTTGGAATCCTGACGCGTGCACCAATGGTTCAGGGATAGCGGCTATGCCCCCTGAGCTGAGGCCGTTCGGCCAACCAGAATCCACCAAAGGCGCCCCCTTTGCCGTGGTTTCAAGCAGGGATTCTGGGAAAAATATGTTTTTGTTCCAGTATGATGGGAAACAAACAACTGCAAAGGGGCTTCCTTTCAGAACCGAAGGTAAGGATTAAGGATTGCCTTGAACAGCCCAGAAAAGGAAACTTGATCATTGGTCCCAGACATGTTGTGTCCGGCCTGATCGGCATACCTCGAGCGAGTGTGCATCAAATCGTTCAATGATGCCGGGAGCTCCGAAAACAACGGATGATTTGGTGGGCGGTTCCCCCCAGAAGCGCTGGATTCTCTGAAAACAACAAAAAAACGAGGAATCGGGGAGCCCCTGATTCATTGGTTGGGGGATTCCCCGGCAAAACACATCGCCTGATCCAAGCGGTAACAAAAACACAGAGCCGAATCGGGAGAACAGCTTCGCCCCAAAGCGCCAGTGGATTTTCATGGGGAAGGGCACGCAATGGGCTGTCCAGAAAGGGAATCCTGATTTCGAGGTGCTGGCGGGCAATAGGGCCCGAAAAGCAAAAAGGCAATCCGGATTTCGAGGCGCTGGCGGGCAATGGGGGCTTTTTGGGCCCCATTGCCCGCCAGTGGGGCCAGACCAGAAAGGGAATCCGGATTTCGAGAAAAGCGGATTCCCTTTCTCCGGGGCCAGACCAGAAAGAGAGGCGGGCAATGGGGCCCGAAAAGCGGATTCCCTTTCTCCGGGGCCAGGCCAAAAATGGAATCCAGATTTTCTTTCTGGTCTGGCCTCGGAGAAAGGGAAGGCCCCATTGCCCGCCAGTGGTCTGGCCCCGGAGAAAGGGAATCCGCTTTTCGGGCCCCATTGCCTGCCAGCACCTCGAAATCCGGATTCCCTTTCTGGTCTGGCCCCGGAGAAAGGGAATCCGCTTTTCGGGGGATTCCTTTTCTCTGGGGCCAGACCAGAAAAGGAATCCGGATTTCGAGGTGCTGGCGGGCAATGGGAATGGGGCCCGAAAAGCGGATTTCTCCGGGGCCAGAAAGAGATCCCATTGCCCGCCAGCACCTTGAAATCCGGATTCCCTTGCTGGTCTGGCCCCGGTCTCCTAACCCAGCGCTTCCTGGTTACCTGTATAGCAGGTAACTGGCCCCTGGTTACCATTTTTTCTGGAACCAAGCTCGGTTCCCAAAAAAGTAGGAACCAGATTATCTCACGGTTTTCACGGTTCCGGCCTCCCAATTCACGGCTCCACCCCCCTATCTCACGGTTCCGAAAGGGAATCCGCTTTTCGGGCCCCAGCACCTCAAAATCCGGATTCTTTTTCTGGTCGCTTTTCGGGCCCCGGAGAAAAGGTTCGGGCCCCATTGCCCGCCAGCCTTTTTGGCCTGGCCCCGGAGAAAGGGAATCCGCTTTTCGGGCCCCATAGCGCCTCGAAATCCGGAAATAGGAATCCGCTGCTCGGACCTCGAAATCCGGATTCCCTTTCTGGCCTGGCCCCGGAGAAAGGGAATCCGCTTTTCGGGCCCCATAGCGCCTCGAAATCCGGAAATAGGAATCCGCTGTTCGGACCTCGAAATCCGGATTCCCTTTCTGGTCTGGCCCCAGAGAAAGGGAATCCGCTTTTTGGGCCCCATTTCCCCCCTATCACCTCGAAATCCAGATTCCCTTTCCCATTGCCTCAGAAATCTGGATTCCCTTTCTGCTTTTCGGGCCCCATTGCCCGCCAGCACGTCCTCTCTACTACGACTAGTACTAGTACTACTACTAGTACTATTACTAGTACTACTACTAGTACTATTACTAGTACTACTAGTACTACTACTAGTACTAGTACTATACTACTATTACTATTACTACTTCTACTACTACTATTACTAATACTACTACTACTACTACTACTACTACTACTACTACTACTACTACTACTACTACTACTACTAATACTCCTACTACTATTACTACTACTACTACTACTACTACTACTACTGCTACTACTACTACTATTACTACTACTACTATTACTACTACTATTACTAATACTACTACTACTATTACTACTACTATTACTAGTACTACTACTACTATTATTTTTTCCGCTCTTAGTATCCATCTTTTCTGCTCTTAGTGTGCCTCTTTTCCGCTCTTAGTGTCTGATTTTCCGTTCTTAGCTAGAACTCCGCGGCTTCGAAGGGCCCACGCCCTCCTCGGGATCATCCAGGAGACGAAGCAGGGAGGCACTGCCTGCGGGCCCATCCGGCTGAATCGCTGTGCTTGGTCCAGTTTATTCATGGGTTCCCTCCAAAAGTGGTTTGATTCCAGCCACTAGACCCAACAACACCCCCCTGTCAACAAACTGGGGTTGATGAATGTGGGTCAACAATGTCGATCCCGGATTTGTTGAACCTATCCTGTAGTTAGGTGTGGGCCCCTCCAAAGGTGATGGTTCTCCCGGTGAACCCAGGGACACCCCCCACCAATTCGCTGGGGTTGGTTCATCGGGGTCAACGTTACGTGAAAGAAACTTTCAGACGGAATGACAATTTGGCACAATCAAAGCAACACACGCCACGGTCATAGAAGTTCGTGCCCCAACGATGCATTTGTTTTAACTTCAGGCATTTGTATCTTGTACATCTACGCATACATATAAAATGCACAGGTATATATAGTCATATTGATTCAAAACACGCAAGTGGAGAGAGAGAGAGAGAGAGAGAGAGAGAGAGAGAGAGAGAGAGAGAGAGAGAGAGAGAGAGAGAGAGAGAGAGAGAGAGGGAGAGAGAGGGAGAGGGAGAGGAGAGGGAGAGAAGGGAGGGAGAGGGAGAGAGAGGAGAGGGAGAGGGAGAGGGAGGGAGGGGAGGGGGAGGGGGAGGGGTGAGGGGGAGGGGGAGGGGGAGGGGGAGGGGGAGGGGGGAGGGGAGGGAGGGAGGGAGGGAGGGAGGGAGGGAGGGAGGGAGGGAGGGAGGGAGGGAGGGAGGGAGGGAGCCCGGGATTGGCGTCATTGCCAGCCAAAACAAGGAAGCCAGTGCGTTACCGAAAAGCCCTGAAAGGGCCCCCGACTGAGCCGGAAGCCCGTACCACCCGGGCGCCACACCCCTGCGCCCTCCAACAATTGAGAGTACACCGCCTGTAGCTTAGGGAGCTTAAAGGGCCGAGCACAATCGGATGAAAACGATCCGTATAGCCCGAATGGTTCATGAAGATGACGTTCAGTGAGCGTGGCGTTGAAGCCATCGGAACCAGCCGAGGAGGTCATTGTGCGGGGTTGGTACTGGTGGGGTTGCACTTGCGAGGGCCAGAGCCAACGCTGCAACACACAAAATGAGTCAGAGGCGCTGGGCTGCGGCGTGTGTGGAGCACCAAATCGTGACAAATGCTGGAGTTGCGTACGCAAAGTACTGGGCTGATTCTCAAGGCAGTCCATTGCATCAAGCATATTAGCGTTCAATTGTCTCGGTCACAGGCATGCCATGCTGGAGAAGGGCGCTGATCAAGGAATCTGCTGCACGACTTCTGCCAATACTCCTCGTGTGGGTGGAATGACTTGCGTCGGAAGTGCCCTTACAGGACGGGGGTGAAATCTAGGTGAAAATCGCTCCCAAAGCTTAGCCTCAGGATGCTGCGCAGAAAGTTCCTGAAGTTTCATCTGTTTATCCGCGCGTGAGAAGTCGGCCCCGTAGAGTCGAGCTCTACGGTATTGTTGACAGAGGGGATGCAGGAGTCGGGGTCAAATGCGGCATCTAGGCAAATTTGGCCTAAATGGCCTTTGAATGCTTCATTGGCACTGCTGGGCGGCAAATTGAAACATCCACTCTCGATGAGCTTCACATGATTGAATGCAGTACAGACTGCAAGGCCGGATTCCTGAACCCAATGCAAATCCAAAATGTGCAGGCCCCCGTGGAGGCGATCCAGGGAGTAAACTGTTGCAAAAAAGCGATGCAAAGGTCCATGAAGTGATGACGCGCCATACTAGGAAACACGTAATGCTGTCATGTTCACAATGATATGTGGCACCTACTGATGTCAGATTAGAGTTCAGACTGTGAGCCCAGGAGATAAGCATAGCAATGCGAGCAAGCACATGAGGCTTCCAAGTGGCTCAGAGATCTTTTTTGCTGCAGGGGCGCAGTTACTCCACGACTTATCCATGCATGCGCCAAAGGGGATTGACACACCAATATTGCACGAGTCCTAATTATATGGTGATGCAATAAATGTAACCGACGCTGGTGTGTTATCGCGCGCAGATTCCAAATTCTACATATTCTCCAAGCTCAGAAGGTCCTCCAAACCAATCGGACTAGGGTCCGCTGCAGCCTTCGCCCAGGCGGAGTTGGACGTCGCACTGGATGGTGCTGAGCCAGAGGGCTTCGGTTCCTGGCTGGCCGGACTGGGGTGAGACAGCCCCGGACTGGGGTGCTTGCGAAAAATCTCCAAGGGAGGCGGAGGAGGCAATGTCGTCGGTGTGGTGGTGGTGACGGGTGGCGCTGTAATCGTGGGGGGCTGGGTGGGTGGGAGGGCCTTGTAGGGGAATGGGCCGATGGCACCCGGTGTGGAGGATGCTTTGGTCTTGCGAACCTTCAAAGAGCGTGCAAGGTTGCTGATGCCAGCGGGGCGGTTCGGACTGGAGTCGGGCACGGCTCCAGATGGTGCAGTCTGCAGACGAAGCGACTTTGTAGACACCAGATCGATCACTGGGGTTGAGGAGGCGGTCGGGGCGTAACCGGAGTAGGAGCGGGGGATGGGGCGTTGGCTTTGGAGGTGGAGGAGCGGAAGTAGGAGGGACTGGGGGAGGAGCAGAGCTCTTGGGTTCAGTGGGAGGGGCGGATGTGGTGGTGCACCCGTCAGGCTCTCAGAGATCAGGATTGCAAGACGCCCCAGGCTTTCACTACCAATTGACAGGAGGCTCGAGACCTGCCAAGGGAGCGTCTCTTTCCGCGTCTTGAGCAACTGCATGGTGGCCGCAAAGATGGAGATGGGTGTCGAGAGCTGCCCAGGGTTACGGCGACGAGAAACCTCCACGGGAGGCTGATTGGCAAGGGCTGTGACAAATGGAAGGGCGCGCAGCCCATGCCTGGATCTCTCAGTTGGAGAGGCGCCAGAGACAACTTCGCCATGTAGCACCGCAGCGAGCTCAGAAGAGGTCAGCCGCGTCAACCTCGGCTGCGATGGTGTCCGCCATCGGTGACTTGTCATCCCTCGCCAGAACGTCATCGGTCATCGCCCCTTTCGCGGCAACCTGTGTGGAGGGGTTCTCAGCCTCTGTGCTGACACAATCCGCCCTCAATCTCGGAGCCTCGCTGGAGGCCGCTGCGGTGGATGCTATTTAGAGCTCCGGCCTTCGAGGCCATCGGACGCCTGATCTGCTCCGGCACGCTCGGGATTCTGGACACAGAATCGGTGTCGACCCAACTGGTCTCCCTCTGCGATAATTATGCTCAGGACAGAGCTCCGCAAGGCGTCGCGCACAGATGGCAGTAAAATGCCGCTCCCACTGGGATTCGACGGCATCGAGCCGCTCGTCTCAGAGTATGACATTCCGTTCTCAGATCCAACACTGAGCACTCAAGCCCTTACCGGCATCCTGGAGGAACTGCTACCCAATGCAAGCCCCGCCTTGCGTGAGCTAGCCAACCTTGTGATATAGGACGCAATGACCTCCTGAACAAGGGGCTTTGTTTCCTGAGTCGACACAGCTTTGACCTGGCGCCAAATGTCCCGCAAGACGCGGTCGATGATCTGAGTCGCACATAGGGGAGTGCGTGGCGTCCAAGAGCCAATAGCTCATTCAGGAGGAAGGCCAGCCATGGGGCCGGCAGAAGAGTGTCCTTACTGCGGCTCGTCGAAGACATGGTGGGCGCCCCAGGAGCCAGGATGCCGTAGCCGGGGAATAGCAGATGTCGAAGGAGAAGGGCAGACTGTAGGAGTTGGGACTTGGCTTTCGCCCGTCGGGCGTCTGCCCGGAGCGAATGACTCTTCCCAGGTCCGATGACCTTTTACTTGCGTGTATAGATGCGTGCGATTGGTCAATTTGACCGGCACGGTAATCGAGTCCGCTGTCACGGCTTTGAGGCCGTGCAACTCTGGTCGTCCCGAAGGCCGTCGACACGTCGCGTCGTGCGGACGTCTGCCATGGTGCTGACACTCATCCGGAGTGCCTCCCGAGGCTGGAGTATAGGAAGACGGTCCCTAGCGAAGGGCCGCAGAAAAGCGGACAGGTCGCTGCTCGCTAAGACCCCTGCTGAAGCCTTCTCGGCGTTGTCCGCCCACCCTGAATGGAGGACGCAAAGTGCGCCCAACCCGTGTCCCACCGCCACAAGATGGCGAAGGCCGTCGGATCCAAAGTGATCACCGATCCATGTGGTTGGCGGTGCATCCCTCGCCAGGTTGGCGCGGTGAAGTACGTAGATGAGCTGCGGCTTCACTCCATCATCTGATGCATTCCCAGAGCTAAATGGCTGAGCCGAGACTGCTCTCGCTTCTTTGGGAAAGTCTGCTGTGAGGGGTGACTTTCCTGACTCGTAGGCCTTGGACAAGAGCTGTCCACCCAAAGAAAGAGACTCAAAATCGTCAGCCGGGGGTATCAGGCAGCACTTCAGGCTGCGACCCCGTGGAGCTTTCACCGATTAGGGTCGCTGGACCAATGTCCAGTTGTTCGAGAATCGCGTCATCATTCAGGTCCATCTCTAATGGAACTAGCTGCTGAAAATTGAAATGAACATCCTGGATAGACAAGGAAATGCCACCGTGCATGAGCTGGAGCTCGAGCCGTGTAAGAGAAAATTATGTGCAAATACAAAAGGGCATAGGTGCATGGTCACTCCAACTTTTTCCGACGAGCGATCAGAGTAGGTATACAGGTGAAACCAATAGGCAAAAATAATAAAAGAGGAGGGGCGGAGGCGGGACCAAAGGGCGGATAAGGGGGCCTCAGTGGGAGGGAGCCTGAGAAAAGGCATCTAAAGTAGGTACCTTTGAGCAAGAGGTGCAGGGGGGGCTTCCAATACATATGCTCATGAGATAGGATGGCATAATATATGGAACTGGTAGGTTGAGACTGTGAAAATGGGGTGAACTCAATGTGTAGCTGAAACTTATAAGAGTGCGCCGAGTGACTGTAGAGCTACGAAGAAGGCTCTTGTCAAGTGTTTGTACGAAAATAGAGGCAGCCCCCAAGTGGGGGCCTCTATTTTCTCAAAACACGCAAGGAAAATGTATATATGTACACACGCCCCAGCTGACTCATTTCCAAAAAACCCGCAAATGTCTGAACACTGCATCATTGCAGCGAAGCTCATTTGGATCATTGCTGGCTACTCGTGCCAGGGATCCTGCAATGCAACTAAGGCCCTGCAAGCGGCACAGCTACAAGGCCTAAATAATACAATGGGGCTGCGTAGTACTGAAAGACAAAACAGAGTCATGATCATGAGCTCACTTCCTCAGGAGATTGGCCAAACAAGTCCACTTTCTATGTACCACTTAATGGTCCAACCCAATCAGGGATCCTTACATTATATATCTGAACATTGCCTTGTAAATGGTGGTCTCCCTCTGTTTTGGTGGGAAAAAGCCATGTTTCAATTGGGCAAAGTGTATCTTTTAAGGAGCCCTGCCAAAAAAGTGCCTAAAGTCCAGGAACTCGGGAAGTGAGTAATAAGTGAGAGGGCCGTGCACAATGCAGAGGCTGGTTTGACTTTCGTCCCCAATCCAGAAAACAACCGGTTCTTGACGTGTCCCTTTACATCAAGGTGATCATGAAACCCACAAGGGGCAAACACATGGGGGTTGATCAAAAGGTCCTTTGCGTGGGATGAGCATTGGGGAAACCACAAAAAAGATGACTTTCACCACAAAACGGGAAAAGTGTCCCGTGGTCATTTGGTGCCAGGAGTATTGTTCCAACCCGGTTCCGTGGCGCACAGGCACAGGTCCCGCTGGCTTTTGACACCAGAAGTGAAGCTGGGACTTTGTGTTCTACCGAGATGGTTTTAAGGTTTTTACGGGTTGGTCTCAAAATAGAGCACCCCCCCAAAAAAATTGCTGGTGTTCCTTTTAGTTCCCTTTTCAAGCCTTCCCAAAAAAGGTACCCTCACAAAACCAAGTAGAACTGAGCCGGCAGAGGGCCAATGGAGCTGGGAGCTCTCATCAAAGGACCTTGAAGAGCGCAAGATGGTCGGCATTGACAATGGAGGAGAAGCGAAAGCTTGGTGGAGCATGGAACAGGGGAAGCAGCCTGACCCCTCCTGAATGCCCTGGGTTGTGGTCTATGAAGTCCGTGGCACCGAACAAACCTTGTCAGAAGCCCGGCGCGAACTACGAACACGGGTCGAAGCATCAAGTCCTTGTTACTCCCTTGCAAATCCCCTGCTCGAACCCCCCCTTGTCAATTTTGCCAAACTGGATCCATGAGAGTCAGACTCCGAAAGTGACCCTTTCAAAGTCAGGTTGGAAAGCTAGGTCCTCCAGTAGAGAGGATAGAATAAGGGTGCCCTTTTTTCTGTAGTCTATTTTAGTAGTGGAAGCCTCCCCCAAAAAAGGGTAAAAGGGCACTACTGGGGGACCTAGAAAAGAAGCCTTAGCTCCTTCAAGCTGCCCCGCTTGGTTGACGTTGGAAGGGGAGCAAAAGTTTAAATCTTAGCAGTTAAGTGGTTGGATTTCAACCACTAAACCACAATAAGCGAAAATGTTTCCAAGGTTTCCCAACAACAACCATGACCATGAAGGCTTCCCTTTTTGCAGCTGCTAAAAGAGCTGGAAGCTACGGCACCGGTTTGACATCGGGTTCCGGGGCGCCAGGCCCAAGAGCGCGTGGTACTCCGGCTCGGACCTCGAGAAGAAGGGGTTCCCTGGAGTCTAAAGGGCAGCCTCACTTCTTGCTTGGTGTCACTTCTTGTTTGGTGTTTGTTTGTGTTATTGTTTATCTTATTGCCATTTTTTTTGGGGGGGGCAGGGGTGTTGTATTTCCCACAAAATGCAGGCCCAAGCTCAACTGCACCGGAGGGTGTCACAATCTGTTTGAGACCTGCAAAATGGTGGGTGAAGCCCGTCGACAGCCAACTAGAGAATACTGGTCGTGAAGGCCGTTTTTTCCCTCAAATCGCCAGATGGCGGCAAAGCATGCTCGACGATGCTAAACATCGGCAAGATGGAAGCTCACGAGTCCATCTTTAAGCCTTCCGCATACGCAAGTCGTCCACACATGACTTCACTCTTGCTGCCAACTTCTTGTAAGGGGCTGAATACTTAGCACGGAGGTTTGGAGCATCTTAAAACCAAATTCACTCGGTTGCTTTCTGCTCCGCTGCTAAAAGTTTAACTTTTAGTGGTTTAATTTAACGGTTTAATGGAAAACCCATTAGTTGGCAAAAAGCTAAAGTCCTAACATCCAAGCCAAATGCACCCAATAAATTAAGTCTTGACAATTTCCTGGCCGAAGGAAACGGCACTGCCAACCACATTTCTGACGTCATGGCCGTAACGCAGAAACCTTGGAGCTGAGTTCCGAGCGCACGAGAGGCCACCAGGTCAATGATGGATGGCAGCAGAATTCGTGTCCTGCCACAACATCCGTGAATTCCGTTCATTTGCTTCTTCGCCCCCCGGAAAACATGAGAAGATATGTTCAGTAGTGAGATCGATTCCCTTTAAAACCAAACAAAACGAAAACATTATACGTATATATGTTTATATGTAATATAACAAACATCTTAAGCAAGTGTAAGGAGTCAGGGAAGATTGTGCTTGTTCACATGGGTCTCATATTCAGCCCAACCTTGCCAGCCAGATTGCCTCAGAGCACAATGCCAGATCTCCCCACCACAGTTCTCAAAGAAAGTGACCAGCACTGGATCATCTTGAGGCCAAGCCATGTTGGCACAAAGTCAGAAAGGGATCTTGCGCCCCCTTCAAAAACCGGTAGACTCCCCCCTCAAGGCCGATGCAACTCCGGTCAATTCCCCCTTAAAACCGGTCATCTAGAAAGTGATCAAATCCCCTCCAAAAACCAGAAACCAGTCAAGAAACCAATCAAATTGGTCAACTCCCATCCCCCTCTTCAAAGCCGGCAGCTCCTGCAAATCCCCTACAAACACGGGGCTCGCCTTTGCACACGGGGCCAGGAGTGCTTTTCATCTGCGCGTGAATTCGGAAAAGGCTTTGTGGCAGCCTGCCTCCCAAAACCAAACAAGCATTTATGCTCAAAACTCACAACCAAGCTAGGTAGGGTTGCGACCCTAAGCGTGCTCGCTTCGCGCTCGTTCGTGCTTGTGCTTGGTTAATGCTCGGTTCGTGCTCAATTGGTGCTCTGCTCTGCCGGCTCGCGCTCTGTTCGTCCTGCTTGGGTTGTGCTCAGGTGGCACTCTGCTTGGGAGGCTCGTATTTGGTTCGTGCCCGGTTCGGCCCGGTTCGTGCCCGGTTCGGCCCGGTTCGTGCCCGGTTCGTGCCCGGTTCGAGCCTGGTTCGTGCACGGATCGCGCACGGATCGCGCACGGATCGTGCCCGGTTCGTGCCCGGTTTGCCCGGCTCATGCCCTTTTCGTGCTCGGTTCGTGCCCGGTTCGCGCCCGGTTCGTGCCCGGTTTGCGCCCGGTTCGTTCACGGATCGCGCGGGGATCGTGCACGGATCGTGCACGGATCGCACCCGGATCGTGCTGGTTCGTGCCCGGTTCGTGCCCGGCTCGTGCCCGGTTCGCGCTCGGTTCGTGCACGGACCGCGCAAGGGTCGCGCACGGATCGCGCCTGGTTCGTGCACGGTTCGTGCCCGGTTCGTGCCCGGCTCATGCCCGGTTCGTGCTCGGTTCGTGCCCGGTTCGTGCCCGGTTCGTGCCCAGTTCGTGCACGGTTCGTGCACGGTTCGCGCCCGGTTCGTGCACGGATCGCGCACGGACCGCGCACGGATCGCGCCCGGCTCGTGCCCGGTTCGTGCCCGGTTCGTGCCCGGTTCGTGTTTGGTTCGTGCCCGGTTCGTGCCCGGTTCGTGCTCGGTTTTTGCTGCGAGGCTCATGCTAGTTTGAGCTTTGCCTTGGCGAGCGGCTTCCCCATAGCAATAAATGGGGTACGCCCCTTCCCCCCTTTTAATCAATATTCCCTGGGGCAAAAAAACTATTGATTGGGTACCACAAGGGCGCTGCAGGGTGCCACTTTGGCCCTCGGCCAAATGGGCCCCGCTCTTCCCCTGGCTTAACGCCTTAAACAGCAATATGTCCACGAGCGATTTAAAAGAAAACCGCTCAAGGCAGTTTGTTGATATTGAACTTGAACAAAACAAATCGGCCCAGTTCAATCTGATTTGCTCACTCTAGATTTGAACGTGAATGCAATTGCGTAAGTCAAGCCTGGTTTGGAGAGCTAATAAGTTCAGGTCTGGACGAGGGGTCCGCGAAAACAAATTAATGATAGAGCGCATAATTGATAGGGGGAAGGAATTGGCAGCTCAGCCTAGAGCCTTTGAGAAATCTGGCGTGTTACAGAAAACGCCGCGATCCGGCCACCAGCCCCCCCACCCCCCTTCCTTTGTTACAACAACCCCAATGGAAAACAATGGACACGTGGACTCAGAATTGAGCCTAGGGAGGGGGGGGGAAGGGGCAACTCCAGAAATCACGGCGTTTTCTGTAACACCTCAGCATTGCGTATCTTGAGCTGGGCGCTGTTTGTAAGATTGTTGTGGGGAGCCTGTTCAACCCAGTGTCCCGGAAAACACAAAGTTCGGTTGTTAGTTTCACGCTAAATGCGTCTGCGCCAATGTGCTTGGAGCTGGGCGGACATAGCAAATATATCTTTGTAGGGCTTTTCAATTCCAAGTCTGGGGGTGGCAACTTGGCTTTGCGGCGATAGCGTCTGGCGGCGTTCCTTTTTTGGCGCTTAGAAGCACCAGCCACTGGCCAAATAAGAGGCAACAAGGCCCACGGAAACCACAAGGGTAAGAGAATAGACGCCCAAGCAGAAGAAGCATTCTGGAGAGTACAATTGCTGAGCAGACCCACAAAAGCTGAGCTGCGCGGCGCTTTCACCTTTGGCTGTTGAACGTAGGGCTTGAAATCACGCATTTGAGAAGGCATGCCTGTTTGAGCTGGCGCAAAACAGAAACCCTCAGAGCGCTACGTGCTTCCAAAGCTTTGTCAGGTCCAACCATGCATCAAAAGCTTCTTGCTGCGCGTAGCAACGCGAAATATCAGCTGCAATAAAAATGCAAATCTATCACGCCTGGAAAGCCCAGGGCGCCGAATTTCCGCCACTGATTGAAGTTCAATAAATGCGTTTGGTGCCCAAAAAAATCGCGAATATTTCAGTGAACCGTTTGATTGCCAAACACGCTGTTTGATTGCCAAAAAACGCCGTTGGCAAACATCAGTTGACCAGCTTGACCTTGGCAAAGCGTCGTTTTCCCACCAAAAACGCCTGACAATTTACACACTTTGGGATATATGCAGGTATTCTGTGACAAACCTTCTGACTTCACTGCCATGCTACACAAAACCACGCATCTTTGGAAAGCTCTCTGGAGGCCGTCTCGCACACTATGGCTTTGCATTGCCCGCGCTTACCTGCGAAACAAAACATTGGCCTGTGCGCAAACAAAAAAGCACTCTGGGGTCTGTGATGCCCAGTGCTATCAAAGGCAAGCCCCGAAACAGGCAGCCAAAACCCCTGAAAAACCGGTCAAACTCCCCTCCAGAAACGTATCCAATCCCCCCAAAAAACTTGGCTGGAATTAGGACCCCAGCAAAACATATATCTTTTTTGCCTGGTTAGTGGAAAACAAAGGGGACCCCAAAAAAGAAAAAAAGGAAAAAGGGGAGCTAAATTCCGGGGAAGAAAAAACGTAGAAACCGATCTAGACACCTGTCAAATTTGCTTTGAAACAGCCAAATCCTTCCAGAAACCTGCAAAATGTTCCCCCGAAACCAGTCAAATTCACCTTCGCTTGGCCCAAGCTCACTGCCATTCTGTTGCTCTCTGCAGCTCCCGTTCTGGCCTTTGAAGCATGCAGACATGCACCACCCCTCTACCTTGGAAACCAGCTCATACCTCAAAGCCAGCCACTGGCCGAGGCGGGCAACGCGAGGCGTTTACAATAAACTGTGATACCAAACTGGGATTCCCGCCATGCTGAGCTTGCCACTTTCGAAGGGATTCCTTTGGTCTCAGTGGGGCTTCCAACTCTCGTGTGCCGATCCGCAGCGGTTGCTGTGGGCCGGTTCCTTTGCAACCATTGCAACCACTTCCCAAGGTTGGACCTGGCGGTTGGGTCAAAAAAAAGGATCAACACACAAAACAAACAAGCACAAAGAAACGCAACATGGGGCAGAGATCCCGGCTGCATCCTTTGGGGGTTCCTAAGGCTCTAGGCAACCTGAGGAACTGTCGGGTTCTCAAGGCTCTCATGTACCAACCCTCCGTGCCTGCAGCCCCGGATGGGATTCCACACCAGATTGCCTCTCTGAAAAACCGCGGACAGCTTTTGAGCCATGGATGAACAGGGATCCTTACATTATACGCCTGAACATTGCCTCGTAAACGGTGGGAAACCCTTTATTTGGGTGCACAAAGCCATGTTTCAAATGGGCAACATGTATCTTTTCAGGAGCCCTGATGAAACAACAAGGCTTTCCCCCGATAAAAAAACAATTATCGGAGCCCCCTCATGGAAACCCAAGGCCAGAAGAAACTTAGGAGACCAAAGGAAACTTTGCTGCTCTTCTTTCTTTTTTTGGTTGGTACCTGCTTTTGGTGGCTTCAAAGGGGAAACCAAAAGGACCACCGAAGCCATTTTGGGGGGTCCCCCCAAAAAGAGACAAAAGGAATGAAACCCTAGCGGAAAGTTTGCCCTTTATCCACGGCCGATTGACTGACCCCACCTGCCCAGAAGCGCCAACGCGCGCAGCCGAAGTTGCTGGTCTGGGCGCGATGTCAGCTGGTGGCCGGGCGTGGAAAATTGACAAATGTCACCCCCCCTTGGGAACCTCTTTTTCAGGAACATTGACTTAAATATGGACCCGCTGGTTTCTGTTTTCGGGAGAATTGACTTAAACATCGGCCCTCAGGTTTCTGAGCCATTGCCTTCGGATTTGCTAGACTCAACAGGGATCCTTGCATGAAAAACACCTGAACATTGCCTTGTAGATGGTGGTGTCCCTTCATTTTGGTGGAAAAAGCCATGTTCAAATGCGCACCATGTATCTTTAAGGAGCCCTGCTCAAAGAGGGCGGCTCAGACATCTGCGGAGAATACAAACAGGGCACAGCCGCTGGAAGCCAAGTCATCGAGGGCAAAGAAGGGACGAAGGAGGAACGAGGGCAGAAGGGGTGGAAGACAGTGAAGGAGGGACGACGGGATGGAGAAAGGTCAGGCAGAACGCCAGGGACGTTTCAACCTACTCTGGCTTCCTGTTGCTGTACATCCCTTAAGCCCCTACCTTTGTTTGCCTTCTTGGGCCAGGCACCCGGTTTTCACCTGTTTTTTCTCGCCCCCTTGCACGTCCCTTTTTCCAATCCCTTTCGTTTGCCCATCGCCTGCACAAGTCGTCAGGTTGTTCTTTGAGGGGCTGGGAACCAAGTTCCCTGTTCAACCTCAAGAATACTGATTTCAGCCTATGACACGAATGTCTGGAAAAACACTGAATTTACTGTCGTTATTAACACTAGCCCCCAACATCTACCCAGCTTGGGAACCAGTCACGTGGGGGAAAAACACACACACACACAAAAAACAACACAAACTGCCCTGTTTTTTTTCTCGTTTTTTTTTCTTCTCGTTTCTTGTTCTGCACCTCCCCTTTTTCAACTGCCCTTCTCGCCCACACGCCGCGTCCGAGAAACCGCGGCGGGCGCCGGGCGCCGGGCACTCGGCCGGCGGCAAGCTGGGCGCCTCCGGCACGCTGCGCCAAGCGAAGCTCGAGAGCAGCAGCAAGGACCTCGCGCGGCTCACCCGGAAAGACACGACTTGGAGGTCCGTTGGATTTGGTCGTCGAATCACTCCGTTGGATTTGTTCAGTGAGGTTGGAATAAGTTGGTACCAACTTTGTTCTGTCTATTTTAGACACGAAAAACCCTCTCGCTCACTTCCCATCGGGTGGATGCCACCAAAAAGAAACACAAAAACTCAAACTGGTCCTAGGTCCTCCAGTAGAGAGGATAGAATAGGTTGGTACCCGATTTGTTTTCTGTCGATTTTAGTAGGGGAACCCTCCCTCGCCCAAGAAAGGGGTGAGAAAGGGCACCTAGCTGGGGGGCCTAGTCCCAACACGACCCCCCGGAGCTCCGGTGGATTTGTTCGTCGAAGCACTCTCTCACTTCCCATCGAGTGGATGCCCCAAAACAAACAGAAAAACTCAAACTGGTCATTTACCCCTAGAGTGGGCTTACCAAAAAGTAAGCCAAGTCCGCGTTGATTGTTTGTGTTCCCGGCTAAGATAAAACACTTAAATTTGAGACATGCTAGAGGCTGTTTCTGTTTGTAGCTTGCGGGGTACCCGTTGTTTGATGGTCTCAAAGGGAAACTACAAGGCAAAGCAGCATTTTGGGCGTCCCCTAAAACACTGGTGAGAACCATATACAAGAGCTCGCTTCCTGAGTTTTTACAACATTGTGGCTTCCTGCTAGATTTCCTTTCTAACCAACCCTTCGCAGGGAGCCCCCTCAAATGGCTTGCTGTTGGCTTTCCTTTCAACCAACCCCAACATAGGGCCCCCCTCAAAATCTGAGCCCCATGTCTTCAACTTTGAGTGGGTTAATATTGGAAACTACCACCCTTTCACCAACTAAAAGCCACTACAACTTCCCCAACTTCAACCGCATGACCGGGGCCCACACCTCTTTGCCCTCAAAACCAACCCCAAAACAGCAAAAAACCCCCCAAAAAACAAAAAACCAACGAAAGCCCCATGTCCCCAGCGCCCACCCGTTGAAACCTCCCCCTTTCGAGGAAAACACGCCCCCCCCCCCAAAAAAAAAAAGAAGAAGCCGCGAGCCCCCGCGTCCTCCGTGTGCTTTACCCGTTACAACCGAGGCGAGTGGCGTCTCTGCTGCCTGGCGCCGCAGCGTGCAGGAGGCCTCCAGCTGGAAGCTGTGCCAGGGGTTCCTCGGCAGTGAGCCCGGTCCACTCAACCAAACGAATCCTTATAAGATAGACGTATGCGTAGACAATAATATCATAGGATGCTTGTTTTCTTTCTTTCTCTTTTTTCAACTTTCTAGATATTATTAATAATTCGATTTGTTCTTGGGCCCGGTGCAGTGACAAATGGATCCTCTACATCAACCGGCATTGGGGTGATTCTTAGATTGGCCCCAATGAATCCTTTAATTGTACCTCAGATTGATAGTCAGTGTTTTCGTTCACCACTGCAGAACCCCCCCCTTCTAAGGTTGGCTTTATGGGAAACAGAAAAGAAAACCACCGCCATGTTGGACGTCCCAAATTCTCTTTCAAACTGGATTGACCAATCAAGTCTGGATGACCGCCCCAGTTGGTAAGTGGCTAACGGCCGTTTAACTTCCTCCGAATTTGCTTTTCCAACAGGGACGAATCCCAAGGCCATGGCTCAAAACCGTACCCCCAGTGAACATCCCAATCCCCACTAAAATAGGTTCTAAAATGGGTGGTGAATTCACCTACCCCAAAATGGGATCCCATTGGTTTTGACCCACAGCCAGATCTGAAAATGCAGATCTCCTTGCCCATGGCAAGGGATTGGTTTTAGCCTTAGTCTACCCGGGGGTCGAATCGGTCCTGAGTTCTGAGGACGCTCAGGTGGTGACAAGGAACGAAATGAAACCATGGGGAAAGAAGCCAGTTCCTCAGAACGTGGCATACATCCTTGATGTCCACCAGGTAACTCGTCTGGTGGTTTGGGTTTGTTTGGATGTTTGGGTCCCGAATCGACACAGGGTTCCGGAACGGCTGAAGGAAAGGATTTCCTCCACGTTTCTTGGCTTACTTGTAAACAGATGGGTGTGATGGTTTTGATTGGGGAACTGAAATGGACAACCATCATGGAGATTTCTATGTCCACCAGTTATGTTCTTGACCACTCCCTACCCACCAATAGGGCTTGACCAGGTTCCGCTTCAGCCACTTTTGAGGGGCTTCAGTTAGCCTTGGTTGGTGATGTGGGTTGGTTTGGATTTGGAGTTGAACGGGCCCTTACTAACCTGCAATCACCCGGGTTTAGATTGTGACTCAGGCAGGGTACTTAGAACCTGGCCGTAACCCACTTAGGAGACTTATAACCACGGTAAGAGGGGTTTAAGTCAAAGCCATTATCCCTGCCGCATTAGCATTAAAAAGGCGGATATCCGAACCCATTTATGGTTGGGACTAGCCCTTACGAACCTCGCTTACTTTCTGCTCCCCTGGGAAAAGTGAATAACTTTCAGGGGTTTAATACGGAAAACCCATCAGTTGGCAAAAGGTTGTTCAGTCCTAGAGTCCTAACCGCCAAAGTAACCTTCAACTACCCAAGTTTAGACTGCGACTCAGGTGACCCCTGCTGCCCTGGCGCGAGGCGAGCGTGAGGCACATCAGCTCGTGGTGGCCCAGCCTGAGAATGCGCTCGTGTTCGGAGTCGCCGGATTTCGCCCTGGGATGGGCAACCCACTTAGCAATTAAACTTACCATCTCTACTCTTGGTAGCGAAAAAAAACTTTGTTTGTTGCAGACCCCCAGTAAAAATGAACAGAACCAAAAAACGGAGAAAAAAGAAAAAGAAAACACAAACATGCCAAGAACAGTGAAGTTTAGTGGGGGAATCCATTTCATCCACAAGCTAAACTGGGAAGTCAAAAGGTGAGCATCGTGGTAGTTGGATGGTCAACGGCAAGTAATTGTAATCTTCACAACCCTTGATATGGTAGCAAAAAACGTTGTTTCTTGACGCCTCCTACTAAAAATCAACAGAACCAGCAAACTAAAAACCAAAATGACATGCCAAGAACTGAAGCAATCCTAAGGCTTCGGAAGGCTGAGGCTTAGGGAGCAAGGAACCCGAAAGGGGCTCTCAAACCTGGACTCTGGGGGGGGGGAGGAGGGGGAGGGTTTTTCCTACTGGGATGTGAAACACCAACGTCAGGTAGGCGACTTAATTCACCGTGCTTTTCACGTCAGGTAACTGGGGCGATTGTCCCCTTTCCATGGTGAAATAACCCAAGTTGGTTGAACATTCAAGTAGATCGTTCTTGGAATACGCCAGCCCCCTTGCTTCGCTCTTTAGACAAAAGAAACCTGCTCGTCTCCGGACCTCTTCCGTTTGGATTTGTTTTCAGTCGAGTTTTGGAAAGCAACGCAACTTCAGGCTCACTCTGTCTAAGCAGTCAGCTCGCAGGGCGAGCTGACTGCGTATGCGACTAATGGCCGAAACTGGACAAATCGATGGGCTTCCCTTGGGATTGGATGGTGCATCAAATCCAAACCAGTGGAACACAATGTTTCGCCAAACCAAAGAAAACCTGTGGATGGTTGCGAAATCCATTTCGCACCACCTAAGACACCCTGAAATGATGCTTCCCTTGTAAATACCAAGCATTGGTTTCACCCATGGTTTCCAAGTGGTGCGAAATGGCAGTGGCTCAAAAAACCGGAATTCCAAAATGGGTTGCCCTGGTAAGTGGAAACATGGACCAAAACCTGCGGTTTGCCCCTCCGATCGTTTCATTTTGGTTGCCACACCCAAATGGATTTCGGATCAACCATCCACAGCGACGAGGCTTGGGCTGGACCTGAGCCTTTCGGTAAGCTTTTGTGGAAGCGTGCATGCTTCCAATGTAGTAGCCCGTTCGGGAAGCCTCCGGTTTGAGTCGTGGTTGCTGCAACGCCCCCCCTGCAAAAAGCGAGTTTCACTTTTTGGGGGTTTCGTGGAACACGCCACTTGACTTTCCAAAAAGTTAAAGTCTACAGATCCAACCCAATAGCAGTCAAGGAGTTGTCACTAAATTTGGACATTGGCTTGGGGTTTGGTTCATGTTTGGGCGCGGTCAATTTTTGGAAGGCCATGTGCAAGGGTCCAGTTCTGGAAGCCCATGAGCATGTCTGCCTATGCGTGGCCCAGCTTTCGGACGTCCTCGTTTTGGCATCCTCTCTTGGATGCCGGAAAATCCGATTGGATGGATGAGCGGCATTCCAACGATGAGAAGCTGAGCTGGTGTTTGGAAAGGACTTAAATGTGTGGGTTTATGTGCATTTCAGCTTCACCCTTGGTTGAAAGCTCGCGCGGTTGATCGGCTCAAGGCCAACTCAGGCTCCCTTGACTGCCGTTTGCGTGAGTCCCCTTTAGACTGAACTTGTTTCTAACAGTCACAGCCTTTCAAAACCAGGGGAACACGAAACACATGGCTGCGCCTTTTATCCGACGACACTTGTTTGGGCTCGGGTTAAAAGGAAAACCCAAGGAAGCCATGGGGGTCTCAAAGTAGGCTTCCCCCGAAAAGCTGGTTTTCATGCTCCCTTTTCAGCCCCACTACAGCGGGTTCCCTCAAGGGCGAACTCAAATGGACGTTAACTCATGAAGCCTTAGGCCCTTAGGGGGGGCTCTGGAGGGGGGCACTTCCCTATTAACTTAGTAAGGCCCTGTTAGGGCTTATGCTGGGCTTTTTCTGGGCTTGTCCAGGGATAGCTCCGCCCCCCTTCCCCCTTAGGTGTCCATAATTCAAGGATACATGGGGGTTGATCAATACTCCTACAATTGACCAAGGGTAACTTTGCCGTTTACTGGGAAATATCATCTCTTTGTGATGGTCATCCCATACTTTCACGGACCTTTTGATCAACCCCCACATGTTTTGGGCCATTCACCAATCCTCAGATGCCCAGTGGCCATGGGAAGAAAAGGGTATCCTTTTTGGGTTGGCTAAGTTTCAAGGAATCGGAACCCTTCCCAAAAAAAGTTGAAGGGCGGACTCCACTGGGCAACTGGGAATCGTATCATCTTTTTTGGTGGTTTCCCCGATGGTCATCCCATGGTTAACCGACCTTTTGGGTGGTTTTCCTGATGGTCATCCCATGGTTCACGGAACCCCCACATATTTGGGCCATTCACATCGCTCGTCAGAAGCGACCCAAGGGCTCTTGGGCTCCGGCAGCACCAAGCGCTGCAGCACGGTGTCGCAGCCATCGCCCCGCAGCTGCAGGATGGCGTCCGGGCTGGGCGCGAATGCGCGACATCGAGTCAACCCCCCCCCAACAAACATAGAACCTGCGTAGCGGGGTCCCTTGAAAAGGAAACTGGTCTTCCAGGACCCCCTCTGAAGGCTCTATGGTCCGGGAGTGGCGTTCAAAATTTGGGCCCAGCGAACATTTGGCAACTCTTGGCAACTCTTCCCTTGCCAAAGGGCAACCAGTTGGAGAAATCTTGGGACGCCACCAGGGAGGAAAATGTTTAAGGCAGCTCCTGCTTATTTTCCGTTCTTAGGGCATTGGACACTAAGGCGAAACCAGGATCCAGGGCTCGCGGCTCCTCAGAGGAGACTTGGAAACACCCAACATGACTTCCGTTTCATCTCCGGCTTCCTGGATCGCATACAGAAACCCCAAATGAAAATTTCGAGGTTCCTGGTCCCTTGCAAACCCCGACCGGTGCCGAAGCCCAAAGTCCTTGGTTCCAGAACGAACCCAACCTGGGTGAGGGGTTTTAGTGGAGTCATGGTGAGCTTCCCTTGTAGGTGCTCCAGTGAGGTTCGAAGAAGGGCGCCTGCCTAACCAAAGCGTTCAACGATTTCTTGCAGACTAAGATGACGTGTGGCAATCTGGCCTAGGTCCTCCAGATTTGAGAGGTTAGAATAAGGGTGCCGTTTCTTTTTTCGGTGGTCTATTTTATTAGGGGAACCCTCCCAAGCAAAAAAGGGGTGAGAAAGGGCACTGCTGGGGGACCTGGCCTTTGACTCCCTTTAAAAAAAAAAAAAAAAAAAAAAACCCAAAAAAAAACTGACGCGCATGTTCACTGCGCCTAACTGGAACGCCATTCCCGGACGTCCACAGTTCCCATCCTGTCCCAAGGCGAATATGAACCCAAATGATGCTGAATGGGAACTCCGGAATTTTGAGTTGTTCTTCAGACCTCCGAAGGGCGATCTGCAAGAGGAGGCTTAGTGGGAACATAGTTGATGAATCAAAGCCTTCTTGGTTTCGCTTGGCATAGCTTTGAAGCAAAGTGGAAAGGGTACTCTCGAACAACAACACACCAACATGACTTGCCGATGCGTTCGGATCCCGCCTGGGTGCTGTTGCAAGACATTGGACGAAAAGACGCAGGGCAGCTACCTCAGCATGAGGCGTCACCGCTTTCAACTTTCATGGGCTTCCCCACCAGAAAGTGGGGAGACAAACTTTTGTTGGGTGCCCCCAAAAACATATCCAAACACAAAACCTGCACACACACACACACACACACACACACACACACACACACACACACACACACACACACACACACACACACACATGGCGAAGAACAGGTGAAATCCACAAAAGGCGCATCCACATCGTTTTCTCAAAGAACGCAAAGATTGGGCGCAATAAAACAAAAAATTAAGACGCCATGGGAGAATCATGGCAAGAATTCAGTACAGGGCTCCCTATGTTTCCCTTTAAAACATCACCCCCCACCCAGGGATACTCACGTTTCATGGGCGAAAAAGATGATTTTTAAACCCGCCAAAAAGGGAAATATATAGGGAGCCCTGTACTACGCAGGTGATGATCCAAAGCACTTCGCGCAAACAAGGCCGAACCCTGCAAACTTGGAGCGCGTGGATAACGCGGTTCACAGTGGACAGCGGATCTCAAATGGAATGTGAGCACTTGTAAAAATGGGGGAAAACCAAAATAACGTGTTCCCTTTTTGCTTCCCACGTCAAACCAACCAGAAAACGGTACCCTAAAAAAAGAGACGAACCTAGGTCAACTTCAGACTCTTCAATCCGGAGGACCTTACTCAGGGGTGGTTACCCTAATACGGAAAACGTCTAAAGTATAGGGGTCCCTCTGACGTCCTCTGAATAGGGGTTCTTCTGACTAGTAGGGTCCTTCAGACAAATCCGACTTGTTTTGCGGGCGAACAACTCACATCACACCGAGCAGATTCACTGATTTCAAAACTGCAGGACACGCCCCACCCCCCACATTGGCTGTTGCTTGTACATGCCAGTGACCCCAAACATTTTTGGGAGTCCAAATCCTTTTAGGACCGCGCGTTGACTGTTGCATTTGTAGCGGAAATCCCGGAGTAGAAAAGCCCTAGCTGATTGATACGGGGGTGTCCCTCTTTGGCAGGGATTCAGCACTTTTGGGGTCAACCATAGTCTCTTTCAATTTCAATCCCGGACTTGTATCATCCACCTGAACAAAACCAAATATCCGCCAGCAAAAGTAACAAAACAACCTAGTGGTGTCTTGCTAAGCTGGTGAATGCCCCATTCCCCTGGTCAAACCACCTGGAAAGGCTGACATGCTGGGACTGAACATCGACCAGGGCTTCGTCACGAAACATAGACTAGTAGGTAACCAAGGGAACCACCCTACAACCAAAAGCAAAACTGCTGACCAATGTGGGCAACTGGGATCCACGAAGACCAAAAAGGGAACACGGAAATAAACTTCCATTTGGTTCAGTCCCCTGGAAAAAAAAAACAAAAAACATATATTTCCAGTAGTGAAATCGATTCCCTTTAAAACCAACAGGGGCAAATAAAAAGTATTCTTAAGCAAATGGAAGGAATATTCAATCCACTGGGTAGACGAAAGGATCCACTGGGTATCCCAAGTCTACCTGGGTAGATCCGCTGGTTTTCCACTGGGTAAAAGGGAAAACGGAAGACTCAACGCTCAAACAAATCCAGTAGTGATAGATTCCCTGTAAAACCAACAGAGGAAAAAAGAACAAATATTCTCAAGCAAACCGAAGGGGCGATCGGCTGCGATGTTTTTCCAGCGGAGTCCCAGGTGCTCTGCACTGCTGCCGCTCCAAGCTGTCGACCTCGCCTCAGTGCGGGGCGCGGGCTGAGGCGAACGTTGGGAAGAGGTCGGCCCTGAGCCGACGGGAAATTGGTTACACCAACGAAACAGGAATCGGGCTGTGGGGAATGACCACTTCTGTGATACAACGGGAAGGGTTTCCAAAGATTGTGTTCATAAAGGGGATTCCCTTGTATCACAGAAGTGGGGAGAAACCCCTTGATCCCACAACCCTGAACAGGAACCCTTTGGGTGGGGGAAGAGAGGGGTGGAGGGAGGGAGAGGGGGCTGAGGGGCGGGCCAAGCAAGCAAGATAGCACCTGACCCAGTGGCCCAGTGAGCAAGGCGTTGTACCTTCCCTGGTGCGTGTTGTTAGCTCTTTGCTCGCGTGTGCACGGTAGAACATGTTAAGCGAGCACGTATTTGGGTCAGGGCAATGGCAACTCGCCAAGCACAATCTTGAGACAAAGCTGTGTGGGCAGCGCCACCCGCACACAACGATCTGACAAGAGCGAGCCACTACTTTGATGCATTCTACCCTGACTCGATCACTTGATTCGTGGTTGAACATCTAGGAATGATATGTATCTAGGTATATGATTTTGACTGTAGGAATTCTCAACCAATACGGGTCAATACTCACTGTGTAAAGGAGATGACAGCAAGGGTCTCCCCAAAATACCAGGACATGGGTGTTACTCGTCCAAAGTTGAATCGGGGGACACTTGAGGAATATTGGCTGTGTCTTTTAAGGAACCCCCATTTCATGGTGGTTTCCCTTTGAAACCACCAGAAAGTACGTCGAGTTGACATGGGGTTCGTACGATAATCCACCTCTGGCCCGGAATGCGCAAGAAAACAGGTCAGAACCTCCACACAAAACTACCTGTATGGGTGGCTGGTACCCTTTTCGAGGTTGGAATGCCATGCAATGAGAACCTTGTGGTAGAAGTTCTGGTTTTCCGGATGATTCCTGATAAACATTGTTGAAACCTGATGCCAATTTGATGACGATGCCGCAGCTCGCTCTGAAGTCAACATGTCAGAGTCGGGGAGACTTTATCATTGCAATTGCTGACTCATGAAAATCAATTTCAATCAAACAATAAAAACATACATCAGGTCGTCTTTTTGTTACACGGTTGTTTAAGTGCTGCTTTGTCGTCGTTGTTGTTGTGATGCCGGCCCCAGTCTATTAGTGCGCGTGGTGATTTACCTTTCGACATGCTTATTTCTCTTCAATCCCTGCAAAGACCGACCAAAAAAGGGGGTCCCAAGAACACACAGACCCTTAACGCGCATGAGTTCTTCTTGCATCCGTCAGCACCAGTGGCACGGCTGGTTGCTGCTGAGCTGCTGTCCCTGGAAGGGACCACCTCAGCAAGTAAAAACCAACGCAACCAGATGAGCCACGGCCCAACTGCCCTGGGACGGCTTGTTTTTTAGGGCGCCTTTTAAGCTAGGTCCTCCAGTAGAGAGGTTAGAATAAGTTGGTACCCGTTCTTTCTTTCTTTCTTTGCGTTTTTGCTGTTTGTCTGTCCATGTTAGTAGGGGAACCCTCCCGACCAAAAAAGGGGTGAGAGGTCGGGCACTACTGGGGGACCTAGCAAGGGACACTGAGAGGAACCCGCTCCATTTCGGGGTTCCCCTAGTTGAGACACACCAGGGCACCTTTTTATTAAAAGGGCTCTGTTCAAGGCGGAACGGCTCTTTTTAAAAAGTTCCCTTATGTTGAGACAAACCCAATGAACCTTGGACAGTCATGTTGGACTGCACCGCAGAAAGATGCGACTTCTGATGAAGACTCTCAACAATGGTGCACGGGGATAAATCTCCAGACAGCGGTGACTGGATGTCCCCTGCAAAAGCTGCAATTTACGTTTTCATTGAAACTGCCAATTTTGGAGGGACACTATGCGTGCACAATTAGCATTCACGCCCATGTGTTTCTTCAAGTTGGGCACCTGCTGGTGCTGGCTTGTAGACCTTGGTCGATGGGGAATCGTTCTCAAAGTGGAGCAGGCCCCGAGTCAGGGCCAACAGATTTGTCTCACAATGTTTCCATCTGTGTTTTGGGCAAAAGCATTCTTCGGGTTTTTGGTTCCACTATGGAACAACCACACGAAATAATGAATTTGTCCAAAGCACAAAGATGGAAACCTTCACAAGAGTCCCATCAAACAAGAACAAGGGGGTGGCTTCGGAGGCTTGAGGAATCTGAGAATACTCCATGGAATTGGGAAGCCTCACCACTGAAAAACAACATGAGCAGCAACCCCCTGTTGCTTGTCCTCTCCTGAACGGTTGACCTCCATTTACTTAAGTCCCCTGGAAAAAGAACCATATTTTCAGTAGTGCCCGTATCTGAGTGAATTATAATATTTCACCAACCTGAAATAGTTGGGGGGGCATTCCCCACATAAACCATCATTTGGGGTGAGGTCGTGTGAGGTCGTTATAATTCACCTAGACGTATGTTGTTTTGCTGGACTGAATCTTTCTTGGCCCTTAGGGACTTGGGCATTCTCCAGGTGAAGACCAGAAGGTAAAATGTCATGTCGATCCGAATTGGGCAGCTGAGGAATGCAACATCTGCAAACTTCGGCCGGACAGGAGCCCGCCATGCTGCAATGCTGGAACATGGAAGAGGACGGCACCTGCCGAACACACATTGCGAGGTTCTACCAGTCCGGCACGTAAAGATTGTATGGAGAACCGCCTGGAGGTGTCTTTTTTTCATTCAGAACCCACACTGTTGGCTTCTGGCTTCCACTTGGTTACCCTTTCTACCCAGCCCCAAAAAGGGGTCTGTGTTATGCAATAACATGTATGTTGCTTTTGTTGCTTTGCTGGACAGAATCTCTTTCCCCAACCCCGAAAAAAGGGTAGCCGAATCCAACCTAGGTCCTCCAGCAGAGAGGTTAGAATAAGGGTACCAACTTTTTTCTGTAGTCTGTTTTAGTAGGGGCTTGCCCTCCCCTTTCCAAAAAAGGGGTGACTAAAAGGGCACCAATTGCTGGACCTAGGAACCAAACAAAACGACGGGGCGCCGAATCCCCCACCCCACCCCCCAAGAAAAAAATATATATACATATATATATATATATTAAAATAGGCGAGGTGCCGCCCAGGCCGAGGCGAAGCAAGCCCAAGACCCCGAGAACCGAAGGCCCCGTCGAAGGCTTTGAAGGCCGAGGCGCCAGCAGCTCCGCGGCGGCCAGCAGCAGATTCTCCTCCGGGGCCTGGTGCGCCAAAGCGAAGAGCTCCGGACCTGGGCGTGCGGCGTCAAAATGTGGGGTGGGTGGGTGGGGGAATGGGGGGAGGTCGGGATCCGAAGCAGCAGCCCCCTTTCCCGTTGGATTTAGGGTGTGGGGTTCCCCAACAACTGCTTTTCGGACAGTACGGAACAAGCAGTTGTTGGGGGGTGCTGGAGGACCTTTTACTATCCTCAAACAGAATTGGGGTTGGGACAAGCCGGAACTAAGCACCCATCTTGGAATCCTTGCCTTTCAAAATAAGCCAGGCGAATTCATACTTAAAGGGGCGAACGAGTACTTAGCACGTGGGCAATAACCATGGCTATAACCCACTTACCATATATGGTTATGAGTCTCCTAAGTGGCTTACAACCAGGCTGACAAACCACTTACTACCTACCCTGCCCCTTTAAGTAGGCTTACCCAAAAGTCAAGGCTTCACATCTATTGGGATGCCCTTCTACTCCGTCGTCTCCAGACCGTCTGCCCGCAGGAGGCCTCCTGCTCGTTTACTTTCGGGACCTATGGCAGGAGCTTCCATAAGCCCGGGCCCTTGGGTGAGCAATTGCTTGCGAGGCTTTAAAAAGGAAAACCCACCCGGAAAACCGAAGCCGGAGCTGGGAACACATGCACGGAGTTGCCCGAACTTTCCCTGGAACTCGCGTCCTTGGACACCTGTGACTGGAACCAAGCTGACACCATGGGTCGAGGTCAGGGGTTCTGAATTCGGTACCTGGTGATACTTTTCTTGCTTCAGCCCAAGATGAGTCAAGTGCCACCCAAAAAGACTCCAGCTTCGCGTGTCGCAAAAAAAAGGAACCAACTGGCTGGTGATTGGAAGCCTCAAAATTTTGCTAGTGTGTACCCTGTTCCTTTGCTCGTCCCTCAAACCAGCCTGTCCTCTTGGTGGCCCTTCAAACCAACCTGAAAACGGTACCGAGCCTCACAAACGATAGCCCAACTTGTCGCAGCCAGCAACTTGGGGACGTCTCTTTTCTTTGTTGCCATCAAGGGGGTTGGGCCAACCTACCGTGTTACACCTGTCCAAAGAATTCCCTCTTGCGTTCCCTTTTGGGGTCTTCTTGAATATGTCATTTCCCCAAGCCTGCAGGTTCACTGAATCCTCACTCTGAAGCATCCGCTGAAGAACTGGCAGAAGATCTGGTCTGGGGCTACCTGAATTGCCTGAAGTGGTTTCTTCCGTTCCGAGATCCCGGCAAGCCATGCACGTCTGCAAGAAGCTCAAGCACGGCAAGTGCAGGCTCTCCTTGGGCACTGGCGCAAGAATGAAGAGGTTCCCTAAAAAAGGCTTCGGTGCTCCTTGTTTTTTTAAGACCGCAAAAAAAGGGAACCCTCAAACAGTTACACTCGACTAGGAGTTTGTAAATCCTAGTTTCCTATTTCATCTCGATAAAAGTAGATTGCACTATTTCCGCTAGCCAATATGTTTCATCGAATTGCTCATCTACCAACTCGCCCAACTTGTCTGGCAGCTGCCAAGCGTCTGGGCCCACTTCCTCGCAAAGCCTGGGAGGAGAGCAATCCCACCGAGGCCCTATCTTGAAGCCGGTTCTCAGTAGGGAATGACCGAAACTGGGTGTTGGGAATGAACTGGAAAGGGGTTCACAAATCAGTCACCATTTCGAGAAACTAATTTTTGTTTCCCGATAAAGCACTCTCAGACCGGATTTCCCCCCAATGCTGCAATTCCAGGCTTTGTTCGAGTGAAACTGACATGTTGGAGGTTCCAAAAAGGGGAAATAGAAGACACCCCTATTTTTCACGGGCCATTCGACCCCCTGAAGATGCTGGGTGCTTCCAATTTTGGGTCAGCTGCAACCCATATTGACCCTTATAGCTTTCATGCCCCGAAATAAGCCGGTCGTCTCCTGTACTGGACGCACCAGGTCTGTGCATCTCAACCTACCCGCAATCTTGATTGGCGGCCGCCTTATGGGGAACATCCTCTCCACAGAAAGTCGGCTGTTACAACCGGGTGTCATTTTTTGAAGGACCTCCCCAAACAAAAAAATATGGCGGGGTGTCCTTTGTGTTTCCCTTTAACAACCCCAAAAGAAGGGGGTGCGTACCCTCAAAACAATACCCACTTCCGGTCGTTTTTTTTCTCGGGGATAAATTTCGCAGAAACACGGCTGTGGCGTCTTTTCCGAAAAGCCCGCCTGCCCCCCCCTGTCGTGGACACCTATCTATTTTGCAGGCTAAAACAATTAAAAGAAACACACACACACACACATACAAAACTGTTGGCAACGAGTCGCCTCTGCAACAAGTTTAGCCTTTTGCTTGGTGGGAAACACACACACATGTTCCACTAAGAAGCCCGAGGTGAAACAAAGTCAACACCGAGCCCAGTTTGTCGGATTCTCTCAGGTTTCTCTGAGGGCGAACCCAGAACTGGGTTGCTTCTTCAGAGCGGTTCGGCCACAGAATCCAGCGATTCGGAAGACCAAAAGCTTAAGGCGTTTCCTACCCATTGCACAGTATGTATTTCGACCACCATTTTGGTAAAGGTTTCTTAAGACTTGCTGGTTCTCAGGGAATCAACAGGGGGGGGTTGGGAATGAACCAAGGGATGCAAGGAAACCACAAGGATTGTTTATTTCGGGGTCGTTTATATTTTTCGTAGTAAGTGTTTAACTCAAGCTTTCTTCTGGCGATCCTCCGCTTCTCACTCGGCTTCGCCAAAGAAACCATCTCCAGTGGACCTTCCACCAGCGACCCGTAGCCAACCTCCCCCACCCCCACCCCACCCCCTGCCCCCCCCACCCACCCACCCACCCACCCGCCCACCACGCCGTGGGCCGAGCCCACCGAGCCCTGGGCCCCGGGCAGCGCGCAGAGGGCGCCGGGCGCCGCGAGCGCCGGCCGCAGCGCCGGCCGCTCCGCCGGCCGCAGCTTGGCCGCGACCTGCGACGCAAGGCGAGGCGGCGGCGGGCGAGGGGTGGGTGGGGTGGGCTGGGGGGTGGGGGTGGGTGGAAGTTTGGGTTGGGAGGGGAGACCAACAAGGAATGAGGCAACCCACCAAACCAACGTACCTACCTACCTACCTGCCTGCCTACCTACCTACCTACCTTCTACCTACCTGCACGGGTGGGTTGGGTTTGGGTTGGGTTCTTGGATGTTTAACCAGCTTACAAAGCAGGTTGCTTCACCGTGGTTCTACCTGGCGTAACTGGGGTCGTCCCCTTTTAACCATGTTTATAACCTACTTGGATGAACACCCAAGTTGGGCGGGGAGGTTGCTGGGAGGGAAGGGGGCAGGTTCAGGGGTCACTGGGTTTCCCCAAATCAAAAAAGTTGATCACTTTGTCGGAGGAGGGGGAGATTCGGGGTGGGGGGCATGAAGTCCCTTGAGCAGCCTTGAAGACTCGATCTGGCAGAGTCCCCACTCACAGCAAAGACTTGGACTCGAATGCCCAGTGGTCATGAGAAAAAAAAGGGCATCCTTTATCAGTTGGCTGAGTTTACAAGGGAGCCGTTCCCCAAAAACATAGGAACAAAGGGCGCCACTGAGCAACCGGGTAGAGGTGGCCGGGACTTCAGTTGCAAGGAATGGCCAAGTACTCCTCTGCAACGCCTGGCCCACATCATCTGTACACAACAAATCATATAGTCTGAGACTGTTTCATGTTTAGACTATCCTAAAATATCTGTTGGAGAAGACCCCAGTAATCATTGCCAACTGAATCTTCGTACATGCCAGCTAAAACATAGAACATACCAGTCGAACAACTCAACGTGGACTAAGTATGACTCCCACTCGGTTGGTGCTGGTTGCACACGCCCTAGCCTCGCACAAGGCCGCCATGGTCTCGCTAGCGCAATTCTCACAATGCCTCAGGGCCATTTCTCTCGTTCAACGCAGCTTTCATTGACACCTCACCCAAAATGGAAACCTGGTGAATGGAAACAATGACTAGGTCCTCCAGTAGAGAGGTTAGAATAAGGGCACCAACTTTTTTCTGTAGTCACTTTTTACCATAGATTACAAACCCCCTCCCCCCTTATACCCCCTCCCCATTTCATCTAAGAGGTCTTTGCAGGGCTGTGCGCTAATGGCTTACTAATAGCTTCCTACTAGCTTACTAATAGCTGCTAATAGTTTCCCGGCTTTCGCGTACAAATAGCTGCTATTAGGTAGCTATTAGCAGCCATATTTTCCTGCAGGATTGTGCCGGGTTGTCACGCTGCTTCAAACGCTTGAAGTCTTTACAGGCGGCAGGTTGTTGCAATGCCGCGATGGCTGGTACTGAAATCGTCGGATAGCCTCCAAGTTTTGGGTCATATCACAATATTGATCCCCGAAGATTTCAGCAATGTACAAGTCCACTGGGCACAGTCTGAGTGGTTCAATCAGCTGTTCAAACTGGGCGGCAAGAATGCCGAGTGGGAGAAAAGGTATCAAAGCGTCCGAGTCTGGCGGAGTCTGGCTGAAATGCATTGCTCGCAGGGTCTAGGTAGCTAGTCACTGCTATTAGCAACCTATCAGCAGCTATTTGAAACCGGGGGGGGGGGGTCTGTAAGTCTATTCGGGCCCTAATAGCTGACTAATAGGCTGCTATTAGTACGCTATTAGTACCCTATTTGAAAGGGGGGGGGGGTCCGTAAAACTCGAGATTTTTCAGTGTTTTGGCTTCCCGAGGCTGTTTTCTGCGGATTTTCGGACAAACCCAGGAAAACTGGCGAGGGCTTGAGTCGTAGGGGGGCATTTGGCAAAGAGAATTGCAAAGAGACGAGCTTTAGGGGAGCAATTTTCCCGAGTCATTTAGCAAAGGAACGAGTTTCAGGCTAGCCTGTCTCGTATGTTGTCGCAATTAGCCTTTACTGATCGAAACGCTTCGCTTGCAAATGCAATGCGCGTGATTGAAGCCTCTCCCAAGGAGTGTTGCTAGCGTGCGGGGCTGGAAGTGCATTCCCCCAAGGACCTCTCCCAGGCACCCTAGGCAGATAAGCATTTTACACTTAAATGAAAAGGGGGGGGTACAAGGGGGGGGGGCTTAGTAATCTATGGTTTTAGACACGCGGAACCCTCGCAACCAAAAAAGGGGTGAGCAAGGGCACCTAGCTGGGGGACCTAGATGACTGAAACCTGCAGACTTGACTCCCATACCCATGTGGGTCAAGTCTGCAAGACCTATGGGGACTTGGCCACCAACAAAGGCGGGCCTCTGATCAACCTCTGAAGACGAAGGACGAGGGTGCCCTAAGGAGATCCCGCGGAACTATATCTTGATACGTCGATTTCGGGCGGGTCAGGCGGCTCCTCGGAAAGTCAGTTCGACCCAAGAAAACCACAGAAAAGCCCCGCGAGAAATCCAATACCTTGGGATTGGCTAGTTGCTCCGGAGGTGATTCCCTTTTAGCCTCCACAATCCAAATCCAGAGAACCAATCCAACCAAATTTGGTGGTTTGGAAAGTCTAGGCCTCCAGTGAGGTTAGAATAAGGGTACCAACTTTTTCTGTAGTCTGTTTTAGACACGGGGAACCCTCCCTTGCCCAAGAAAGGGGTGAGAGGTCGGGCACCTAGCTGGGGGACCTAGATAAGTGTTTGGATCTGGATTTGAAGCATGGCGAAGGTACCCCCTTTTTGGTCCAAACCAGGCTCCTCCACTCGGGATAAGGTGAAGCTCAGCTTCCTTCCACTTGGTGGGTTAGAAGTTGGGGGGTGGTTTCCTTCTTACAAGGAACCAGGGAAACGCATCCTCAAATCACCCGTTGGCTTTCAACCACCAATTATGGCTTACCTGAGCTCAGTGGTTCGTTCAATCCCAACCTCGAAGAAAACCCAACCAAAATCAACAGATTCCTCCTGTCCATTAACAGGAACGTGATGCAAATCGGGGTCCTGGTTTTGACGTTGTTTTTTTCAAATCGACATTTTCTCTGGTGGGTTCCATGTTTATGGACAGGAGGGTAACAGATCCGCTTCACGATTTCGCGATTTTGGATAGATCTGCAAATTCTTGTCAACCTGAAATAACTGGGTTGAGCCAAGGTTCCCTGGCAAAAGGTCGATCACCTTTTTTAAGTTCAAAGGAAAAGCCATTGGGGCTGAAATAATTTTCTACAAGCAACGTAGACAACCTTTGTAACCTTGTACCCTAGTATCGTTCAGTGCATTGGTTTGCAATCTTTGAGGCTACGAAGATGGCAAACCAAAGACACAGCGTGCTTCCGGGCAGTTGGTGCGATCCTATCAATGGGACACGAGATAGCAAAGGCTTGCTCACAATCGTCGAGCGCTGGCATTGGCTTGACCTCATACTCTCTGAAAAGGTCTTCTTCGAATTGGTCTGACTCTCTCCACCTTTGTCTCAAGAGGTCTCGTACTTGAGCTTCATCCACGAGTTGTGTAGGTCGTGCCCTCGTCCATCTTGATGTGTACCTCTCCATGAAACCACATCGGCTTCAATCTCGGATGATTGTTCGCCTTCAGAGTGTCCTCCAGGTTCCGCCTCACGTTCCGTCTGCTCGTGCAGCTCATGCTGATGTTCTGATTCCGACGCTGGGCTGAAGCTCTCGGTTCATCAGGTCCATTTCGAGGGCCTTCAGAGCTCGCACTCTGTGAAGGTGACCTTTTTTCGCTTTCCTGAATTGCACCACTCTTTTGATGACGGAATCTCCCCATCGTTTAAAAACCTGCAAGAAGGTGTAACGCCGCACATCTCCTCATTCTCAAGGAAGATCTGCCAGCGCAGCCCCTTACATAATGCAAAGACTCGTTGAAAACAAATCGGCCCATTTGCTTCCAAATGGTCTAAGGGGCCAAGGTCACACCAAAGACTGGACAAGACAACCATCGGTGGGTCGACAAAGAGAGATTCATGCCATGGACCAGGTGAGGCATAATGGTGACAACTGATTAGTAAACCCCCCCCTCCCCCCCCCCCCCCTTCAAGGTCGACAAGGTTTGGACAAGTCCCAAAATTGAGATTTTTGGGAGGACCCCCCTGATTACTCTGGAGCCCCTTCGGTGGTCGTCCTCTTACTTCTGGTCCCTTCAGGGCAGTAGGACTTTAAAAGGCAACAGCACATTGTTTTGGTATTAATCGCGGGGGGTTGCCTGTTAATGAGGGGGGACTGGCCTCCAAGGGGGGTCCCCTTTGTGAGCTTGAAAACCTTGTCATTTTAAACAAATTTTAATAAAGCAAAATGCATTTCGGGGGAAGCACATTTTTGGGAAAAACTTGAGGGGTTCAATAGTGACTTAGTATTGGTGGGTTGAAGCACAGACTAAGCAAATACTAAGCAAGAAGGAAAGCACCTTGTCTGGCAGGTTGTTGTTGGCTTGGGGGCTGCAGAGGGATACCTTTAATCAGGGGGGGTCTTGGGGAGGGCCCAAAAATAAGTGGGTAGGGTTTTTTGGGGAAACCTTGTTGGCACTTTACTTTAGTATTGGCGAGAATCCTGGGGGGGAAAAGGGGGAACCTTTAATCGGGGGGTTTACTAATCGTCTCCTGACATTAATCAATCACCTGGTACAAGGTTCTATGCCGCTACCCACCTAAGTAATCATACAAGATCATAAAAGTGGAAACTCGGGGGCCAAGAAGTTGTCATCCAAAGCCCGCTCAACTTCCGCGATTGCACGGAGGCTAGACATACTGTGGATGGACATGGGAAACCATTGTTCGTTGGTATTTATAGGTGAATCATCCTTCTAGGGCCTCTTAGTTGGTGCAGGATTTCGTCCATCCACAAGAGGATCCATTGGTTTTGGACAGAGGTGCTCATCCTCCTCTGGCTCCAGCACAGCTTTCTGCAGCAATCCGCACAGCGCCGCAGGCAGCGTCTGGCGAACAAGCGAACGCTCAGAGCGCGCGAGCCGAGCCGGTGAAGCGGCGATGGTTTTTGTGGGTCGGTTGAAGGCAAGTACTCAAGGAACACACCCAAAACACGCACTCACTTGGCTGTGGCTCAAAAACCCGGTACAATGGAACCCTGGTAAGTGGAAACATGGACCAAAACCTGCGTACCCCCTCCAGTAAATTTTGAGCCACACCCACTTGCCCAGAGGGCCAGTAGAAGTTGTTGGGTCATAACCTTTTGGAACCTTAACTAAAAAATTGGATCAAAAAACGAGAACCCCAAAAGGTCCGAAGGTCCGCTTTGGACAAAAAAGAGCACGAGAAAACGGTTGAAGCAGGTGTGCCAAACGGGCAAGCAAGCTACCAAATAGTACACAGACCAGTTATTCAAACATCCGACTCAAGCAAGATATTCAGCAACCAGCTAACTGGGCCTTAAAACGGAGCGAAAGGTTCGAACTCGGACAACAGAACTTCGCCTGGCGAAATGTGTGCCTCGATTCAAATCCCCGATCGACCTCGCCTTGGCAAAAAGAATCACCCACCATATCCTGTCGGATTCCACTCGTGAGAACGTCAAAGCTTAATTGCGACTTTCTAATGTTGTTGCCTGCAATCAATAACCTTTAGTCACCAATCGTAATTACGGCTTTCTAATGTTCTCGCCTGCAATCAATAACCTTCCAGTCACCAATCTGGGGGGTCCCCCTGCAAGACAGCAAAGGTACCCCTCTTGACAAATTAGCCGGGCGTTTAGTTATGAGTGGTCGACAAAAGAGGCGTCGCTCATCACAAGGCACGGAATCGCTTGCTACAGCTTGCCAGATTCTTTCAGGCAGTGTGGCAAAACCTAGACTAGGTCCTCCAGTAGAGAGGTTAAAATAAGGGTACCAACTTTTCCTGTAGTCTATTTTAGACACGAGGCTTGCCCTCCCCTTTCCAAAAAAGGGGTGACTAAAAGGGCACCTAGCTGGGGGACATGGTCGAAACGAACCAGTGAATGTTGATACCTTCTGGGATTGACAAAATGACGGTCCCGTGTGGTTCCCGACACCCTCTGCAGAGAATGGCAGTGCTGCCTGAGCAGGTTTTGTCTCAACACCCGGAATTCCCCCCACAGCTGCAAAGCTTTGACTCTTCTGACTGCAAACAAACTTGGAGACTGACACATCCAAGCCCAGCCCGGGACCCAAACGTTGCCTGACGCTCGGCCAAGCAGAGCTCTCCTCAGATTCAATCCGAAACCACCACGCTTTTCCGGGTGCGTCTCATGAACGCCCACAATGCAATGGCAACGTGTATCGACCGTGGGCAAAATGACACACTTTCTGGGTGAATCTCCTGGACTTCTGATTCTGACAAGGATTGTCACAGTGCATATAGGCCACATTACTCATAGTATCCCTGTTAAGACTTTATGGGACCTGCAGAACGGGGCCTTTGAGGTCCCTTTAAGACAACCGAAACCGGGTACCCTAGAAATACACCCACTCGCCCAGATCTGCCCTACCCTATCATGTCTCTTTCGGGGGTGGGCTCAAAGTGTAAATAGATTAGCAACGGCAAACAAAAGGTAGTGCACATAGGTGGCCTTTTGGAACAATAGATGGGTTTCCCTGGTAAGTGGAATAAACCCCAACTAAACCAGTGCCAATCTATTTCTAACCCAACTAACCTAAAAAGGAGACCTATGGTAGAGTACCCTCCCTCCCACGTTGCCATGCCACCTGACATGGGGTCGCTTTGAGAGCAGCTGATCTTTCAGGTTCCCTGCCACAGGTGCAACGTGAAGGTGGGAGGAAGGGTGACACCCCCTACTCCACCCAATACATGAAATGAAAGTCGGGGAAGGAAGTCCACGCGAGAGCACCAAGACATGGCTTATGTCTGGGAAAATCGATAGAATTCACAACCCTGATATGGACACATCTCAGCGACCTTGATGTGTTTTTGCTCATTCTCTCCCCCCCTGGTTCTGGGCACTTCTGATTTCTCTAATTTGGGGGACCCCTTCAGGTGGTTGGTAGGACCGATTCCTATTTATGCTGAGAAACACCGAAATGGCTCCTGCAATCAACTCAGCTGAAGTCTCTTATCATCTCCCTGACATGCCAGCAGAAACCGGCCCACATCATGTGGACCCCTGATCAATAAACCCCCCAGAAAAAAAGGGGACCTGGAAGACAGGACTCCCACTGAAAAGGGACCCCTGCCGATGCTTCTCGCCTCTCGGCATATCAAGCCTGCGTTACGTGGTGTTTCTAACGGCATCATATGGGCGCCCATGTCTTGATATGTGTGATACATCTCTCTCTCTCTCTCTGTCTATATATATATATATACCCATACATGCACACATATACGTATACAAATATGTATATATATATATATATGTATATACATATTAGAGAATATGTATAGATCACTGCGGGGGCATGTGGTTCAACCCTCAGGATTGGAGCTCACTCCTTTTTCGCTACATCGAGCCGTGCAAAGGAGTGGTTCCACGCCTTGAATTCCTAGGCTCAGAGCACTGGCAAGGAAGTTCTGCTACTCTCATGAACCCCTAGTCCAAATCCTTGTCCCCTGGCTTCCAAATCCTTAGGGAAGCCAAACAGATTGAGTAAATCATATTTTTTCTCGCCCAACCTTGGTTTGAACCCCTATGTCGTTGATGGGAACATGAGCAGTTTTCTTGCTGCCTGGCATCGGTGCTTAGAAGGTGCCCTTGCCAGTGCCCCCCTACCTCAGCCCCTCTTAGCCATCTCAGGCACTCCCCGATCTGCAATGGGCAGCCAGGCTGCAGCTTCTCGAAGGATCACCATAATGTTGACCCAGGATTAATAAACCAGTCCCATTATTAGGGGGGCGTTCCCTCCCAAAGTGGTCTGAATCCCCACTAAAAGGAATTGGACACCCCCCAATCAAAATCAACCAGGGGTTTCTGAAAATCCGGGTACCCAACTCAGTCACTGGAACTCCCCAGCCAAGGTCCCGGAAGAGCCTTCGAAGACCTTGAGTATTTTGTTTGACCAGCCCACACAAACAAGTGATGGGCAAAGGGCCCTCAGCAGAACAGCACGTGCCAAAACGAGTGACCCCCTTGGGCCTAACATGTACTAACATGACACCAACCATTCTTCGGTTGGGGGGGGGGGGGGCGATTCCTGGTTTTGACACATGTCCAAGGCATCTTGTGGCCTGTCCGGAGCAAATCCTTAAAAGTTCGCGGTCATCACTTGCGGCATGGGTTGCATTGGTGCCACGAATCTTTGCCTCAAGCCGAGCAGTGCTGAGTGCTGAGGCAAGGATGCGTGGTGCTTCAGGCGACCCGTTTGTTGGTGTTAAAAGGAAACCTAAACTTCGTTGACGTTGGAAGGGGAGCAAACATTTAGATTTTAGCAGTTAAGTGGGGATTTCCCACTAAACCACAATAAGCAAAAATGTAAATTGTTTCCCAACAACAACCATGTAAAGGGAACCAACTTGACATATTGGGGGTTCCCAATCCTAGCTTGAGACAATCCCATTTGCCAATTCGCGCGCGGGGGGGGGGGGGGACAAGAACCGAACTGTGGCTGTTGTATTGGTAGAGAAATCCAAGCGAACCAAAGGTGCGTCAGAGCCTGTCACATTCATGCGGGCCGAGTGACCTGTGTGAAGGTTAAAAAAGGAAAGCAATGGGAGACGTCACACACGCACACACACACACACACACCCAAGTGACATCACTATGATTTGTGCAGTGTAAAGGTTAAACGGACACCTTCGCTGCATGCCAGGATCCAACTAAGGCAAAGAGCTAGGACATTGCGATGAACGAGGCTTGTCTTGCAATGTATCTTGCAATCGCTTGGCGTTGTTCGTTGGGATATATGCCGTTGTTGGGATATATGATCCCGGGGTCCCAGTCGCAGCTCCCCCCCCCAAAGTTATCCCTTTCCGGGGAGGGGGGAGACGTGCGAAGGTCTGACCATATTCACATAGCCACAGCTGTCGACGATTGAACATCTTCAGCTTCCCGCAATCCAGGGCCAAATCGGACATCGACATGCATCAAGTCCAGACACTCAGGACACGCGCGAAGAAAGCTAAAACACAAAGGCAGCCTGCCAAAACAGCTTGGCGTGGCGCACTTCGTGAATCACAACAACAGCATTTGTGCTGTTGAAACATGAATCACACCAACATTTGATTCATGGTATTTGCGCATTCGTGGCGCACTTCGTGAATCACAACAACAGCACTTGCCGGAACTGGTTGGGTATTGAAACATGAGGCAAGGATCGCACCAAGTAACGGCGACCAAGGCACTTCAACTCGAAGTTACGAGCACCCGAGGAGGAGACACTTCTGCCAGGTACCCCAAATGGGTTGCCCTGGGAAATGGAAACATGGACGATTTAATCTTCAGTCCAATTCCTGGTGGTTTAATTTTGACCCATACCCATATCTGAAGGGACCAAGTGCCTTGCGAGCATGTGCTTTGTACTTTGGCCCGCCGCGAAAGTATAGCAACAGAAAATGCTTGGACCCTCAAAGAAAAACAGACAATGGGTTCCCTCCATTTGCTTAAGCCACCTGGAAAAACATCAGCAGTGATAGATTCCCCCTAAAACCAACGGGGGGAAAGCAAAACATGTTCATTTCAGCAACTGCAAGATTCGAAAGGCAAAACCCGAGGCCGTCCGACGCGCGGTTTTTTTTCCGACCTGGCCAAGAGACAACGGCACTGGGTAGACGCCCTGAGCCGCGGCCGGGTGTGGGGAGTAGGTTTGAGGCGCATAGGCCGGCGGATAGGTCGGGTACCCCGCCGCTGGCGGCACATAGGCTGGGGGCCCGCGGGCGTAGGTCGCGTAGTTTGCGCCTCAGCGGAGCGGCTTGGAGCCCGAGCGGGGTGTGCGGGGTTGCAGCTGTGGCGCTACGGAGTTTCCTACTCGCAAAGGGAACATGTATGGGGAGAGAATCTGACAAAAAAGAAAAAGGAAAAAAGAAAGAAAAAACATCAGGGGTCTTCTTTCTGCGACAGATATTTAATTCACATACATTTGTTGGGGGTGCCCCGCAGTAGAACGTGTGCCAAGCCACTTGAGCATGGGCATTTGCCCTTTTGGGAAGACTTTCTTGGGTAAATGGCCCCCACAAGCAAAGGGGTTGAGACGGTTGAGTCATTCACCCAGGATATGCGATTGAGAAGCTGCAGCCATCCTTCTGCTTTCCGGACTGCCCCCAAAACGTTGAGAATTGGAACCCGCTCCTCAATGCCCAATTGCCCAGTGATGGGTCCTGGAAAAAACCTTGGGCCGCTTGACCCCGTTTTGTCCAGACAAGAGAAACAACATTTGTGAAAGAGAAGGAAAAGATCTGAACGAATGACTGGCCAAGCTTAGCTTTAGCTGACCATGTCTAGCGACTCCCGATCAAACAACTCAAAACGCAGACTTGAATCCACTCAACGATTCTGAAATGGGCTCCTTTGTTGGGTGGTTTTGAAGGACAAAATAAAAACAAAACCATCATTCCGGGAGTCCCTTGACGCAAGGACACCCTCAACTGCTCAAGTCTCCACTTGCACTTCGGCCCAGTGTTTCAGCCACGGCGCCGGAGAAAGTGTGCATGACCGGGGCTGGCGCCTCGACCTGAGTGACGTAGTGACAAGCCCAAGGATTCCCTGTCTGTCAACGGAGGATTGGCAGACCCCGCTTAACAAAAAGTTGTCCCTGGTCTTAGTGGGGAATTGAAAGACTCAGGGCGTGTCTCTTTTTGATGGCTGGTGGTTTAAAAGGACAACCAAAAGGAACCACACTAAAAAAAGGGAACCCCCGTAAAAGAACCAGTCATGGGCCTTCAGTGACACACACACACACAGCCAGGAAGGCCGGCAAGCATTTGCTCTTGCATGCTTGAACTGCTCCTTCGGCCCTCGGGAAGATATAGCTACCATGTACTTCTTGATTGAATATCGCTCCTACTAGCCCCTAGCCAATAGACCCCAGTAGTCGCTACCCGTTTCCAACCATGGCCGCTATCACCTTTGAAGATGCTGGTGCGGCTCAAAACTCAAGACAAACCGCAGGTTTTAGTCATATGTTCCTTTTACCAAGGCGCCATGCTGGTGCATTTGCTTGAACCACAAATGACAGAGTTTTGTTGACCGGTGGAAGTGACAAGGCATTCGAAACCGTCCAACTTTGACCCTCAAGTGAATTACATTGACTGGGTCCTC